TTGTCCATCTGCAATGCAATGTCATGTGTATCATTCAGATGTATCAGTATGTGTATGACTATTGGCTATAGGCGCTGTTGTCATGATAATATGATACTAGCAACAGTTCATGCCTGCATTGAGGCAATGTGGGGCCCCTGGCCTGATACACTCTATGTGCCATTATGTGTTTGTTTTAAAAGCTGAATAAATACCTCAGCAATCAAACTGTCATAATTATTATGATTTTAGTGATTGATAACTTTGAACTCTGTACTCCATGATGCCCAGTCAAATACTGCATGAAACCGTGCCAGTGACACACTGGTTATTGTCATGCTCTCATGCTGTAATGACGTGTTGCAATGGCATGTACATGTTGTTGTTGGCTGTATGCATTGAACAGAACATTCTCTCCTCTTTGTCTTTGAGTGGTGTCCATATTTTTCCTGAAGAGTGGGCTGTTGGAATTCTGCAGGTGTGCACTGCCTTGTGATGTGTTTTGGGCTTGGGCCAATCACATTCCTCTTGTACATTGGTACTTATGTGTGTGTGTGTGTGGGGGGGGGGGGGGGGGGAGTGAACTTGAGCACATTTATTTGAACACTACAAATCTTTGTATGTACAAGTAAGCAGTATGGTACACTCAGACGTCTCTTATCCGGGCAGTATGGTACACTCAGACGTCTCTTATTCGGGCACCTTGGGACCGGGCACTGCCCGTATCTCAGGATAACTCATCTACTTACATAGGCTGGCAGTGAAAAATAAGCACTTCCACATACAGGGAAAAAGTAAAAGAAACCAAATTCGAAGCATTTGTACTATAGGAACTCAAGCTGAAGGTGCCCGGCAGAGAGACGTGCCCGTATCTGAGGCATCCGGATAAGAGGCGTTTGAGTGTATGTCCCTCAGTTATTGTACTGTGACTACAGTCGCCTGTACTGTGACTCTGCCATTGTGGATGTCTGACGCTGTAATGTGTAGCTGTTCCGGAGCAAGAGGAACAGTACAGCCGTGTGTGTGTACCCATGTATGTCTATGCACTCAGTGTCTATTCCTTCCTGTCAGGATCTAGGAAGGGACACGATGCAGCAGTTACATTGTACACTGGTGTTCACGATGTGGAAGCATGGCAGGTCCGGAGCTGTGTGTAGAGATGTGGAATTGGGAGCATAGTGGGATCTGAAGCTGTGTGTAGAACTGTGGAATTGGGAGCACAGTGGGGTCTGGAGCTGTGTGTAGAACTGGAGGAGCATAGTGGGGTCTGGAGGTAGCTGCTGTGTTTAGTATAAGTACTGTTAGGCTAAAGAGACGCCTGGCTATCCAAGCTTGCGCCAGCTGTGCGTCTTTCGGCGTATCAATCCTGACGCGACATGGCCTCCAGTCCCTTCCTTCCTTCCTGCACACATGCCCAGGCTTGGCTACCTGCTAACCTGCACCACTGTGTGTTAGCGTTGTAGAGATTACCCGGCGCGGCTGCTATCATGTACTAGTCACGGTGCTGGCTGGACACTGAGTCACTGAGTCACTGTATACATGTAGTCGGAGTACCAACCACTGCACACTACAGTATGCCGCACAGTTCATGTCCAGTGAATCCCCTTATTCAGTTCTTACGGCCAACCACCAGAGTACCGATAACACAGGAGAAACCGACCTTTTTCACCTATACTATAGTCAATGATGTGAATAACAGAAGGGACCGCATACAGTCCTGCTCAATGAAATCCAGTCGCTTTACTCAAGTTTGCGCCTGGCACCATCTCGCAGCCCAGTGTTCGCACAACGCCCGGCGCTTACTAGAATTGAAACGAACCTGCTTCTGTCCTGGCTATGCAAAGAGATGCTTAGGATGTTTGACAAATCACACTGTGCAATTGTCTACTGGATACTCAAGAATAGACAGACTAAGCAGAGCACGCCATGTGTGTGTGTATTGCAGACGACAACAATACACACACTCTGCGTGTACATGTAATACTGTACTGGACTTCCTGCTGGCAATGTACGGTTACAGTAGTACTGCAGATCAGGCAGTCAGGCAGGGGATGTAGACCAGCCCATGGAGACTTCAGGTCAGGGCAGTCAGGCAGGATATACTAGACCCACTCTGAAGACATCATGTCAAGCAGGATATGCCGGACCAACTCAATTCATCAGGTCAGGCAGGATATACCAGACCAACTAAAGAGATCAGGTCCGGCAGGATATGCCAGACAGGATTCTCAAGACACCAGGAAAACAGCAGCAGCAGCAACAGGATACTGTGCGGTGATGTTAGCTATCAACTTCCTACTACGAACGCGAGGCTGTGATCAGTTTGAGATCAGACACTCACATCCTAACATTGGCATTTAGACGTTACTACATAGTTACACCGGCGTTGCGAGTATGTACTGAAGTACATACTTGTACTTCAAGTATACGGTGGTGTACTAATGCGTTGATCCCCGAGCTGCAAAGAGTCACGCGGCTCAATGTCAGAGACAGAGCTTAGTACATAGCAAACTCAGCGGAGGACGTTCAGGTTGGTTGTAACTCTGAGTTTCATGCCGCCGCTAGGCAATCATCAGACAACTGACACAGCTGTGTACTGCTAATGGCTACACATCATGGAGAGCACATTGAACCCACCTGACTTCTTGCTAACTGTTATGTCCACACCGGTGGTAAAGGAATGCCACAGGACGGCCCTGTCCGCCTCATTTGCATCAGCAGAATGCACCGGAAGGGTGTGCTTGCGATGACAATGATGTCATCATGATGTCATAGGTGATGGGATAATCACGGTGCTTTGCCGCAAGTATTTGATGAACACCTGTGTCGGGGGTGCACTTCCGTGTGAGTAGGTGCAACTGCAGCTGGTGCTACCGGTCACATGGCAAATTCATGCAGCTGTATTTGGACTTTCCTGTATGTGGATTTCTTGGAGCTTCCCTCCCTAGGTTTCCTGTAGTTTGGCGTGATCGTGAACAGGAGTTTAAAAAACTGCATGAGTTCGCGTGCGGGGAGGGCTGGGAACCGCCTTTTCGCTTCCGTGGGACACCACCACCCCAGGAACAGGCGTTACGCAAGGGGCATCTGACCATTGGCTTGGCTTTCCTCGCGTGAAGATATATGATAGGCAAGTTGATGCTTCAGATGCTGATTCTCTCCAGTCTTGTATGGGGTGTATGATGGAAATCCTGAGCAGAGCAGCCGACTGTAGTCCATACATGTAATGGCACTGAGCAGTGCATGGAGCTGGGTCAGCATTTTGTTTCCTACGTCTATACACTGTATAGTGAGCTACATGTTCTATGACTGCTGCCTGCTAACACACTGTACACAAAGGTTGCGTGTGAGCGGCTCAGTATCCGCTCCGATCCTCACATCCACCGTTTCAGCGTGCAATCGTACCAGAAGCGGGGTGGTCCTCCGATTCACATGTACATGATTGTATTATAGTTGAGCCCAGATCTGTGAACACCTCGTGTGCACCGACCACCCTTGTGTGCACCGACCACCCTCGTGTGCACCGACCACCGCGGTGATGCCACCACATGCTCCCCAATCCCGCACACAAGGCTCTCCGCCGTAAGAGCACATACAAATTCCACCAGACCACCCCGGCGGCAGCAATGCCACTACTTAACCCGGTACAGAGCACAGGGGCGTCGGACATGCTACGGTCACTACGGTATTGACCGTGCCACTGTTTGTCCCGGGCATGCTAGCTCTACCCTGGGAATCAACAAAAGGCACTGATTTGTGCTCTAAATTTGAAAAATTTTCAGAGGAGCCACCCAACTCCACGAGTATAATGTACTTCAGGTGGCTGACCGTACCACAGTAAAATACCTTGCGACGCCCCTGGTACATATGGTGAGATTGGACTTCCAAGCTGCCAGCGTACCCCCCCCCCCCCCCCCCACACCTCCATAACACTATCCGCAGCACTACAATAAAGTTGACAGATATGTACTCGTATTACAAACACTTGTCACACACGACACAGAGCACCACACATAATTCGTTGCAACTAATAGTTTCATGCCCATAGGCAATCATCAGACAAAAAATTGTCACGTTTTATGCGCGATTAGCCGGCAACAAGACCCGTTACTGATCCGAGTATTGTCCCAGCATGTTTCTCCATAGGTAAAATTAATGGTCAAGACAGCTACAACCGCAAGCCACCCATAGTGTGTGTGTGTGAAAACGCTTTAATATCCAGCGTGCTCCGTGTACGCTGCAAATTAACCTATACATGTGGGAACTAACATCCAGCCAAAGTGATCGGCATGGTTTGATTCTCTGCGGCTGCTAAAACACTTAACAAGGTGTGATTATAGTGATGGTGGTCGGTACGCGGTGCTCATCTTTGTTTCCCGATCTGCTCTACACTTTTAAGAATGTTAGTACATTATGTAAGCGGAGTATAAACCGCACCCACATGTTTTGTTTGGGCATACCGCACATACATCGACCCTGTCTACCACTGTTCGTTTGATCATCGTAGTATAAGTCGCACTGACCTTTTTGGGATGAATTACTAGTGTTTAACGTGCGGCTTATGCACCAGAAAATACGGTACACTCGCTGACTGACTGTATAAGATCTGGTTACGTTGGTGGACAGTTAGTCATAACTCGTTACATTTTGTCCTCCCTTTTCGCCATAATTTATAATAATATTATAAATGTAATATGTAACAATTTGTAACATCACTCACCGGCGCTGCTGACCTTCTTCTGCGCCTTGCTTGGCTTTGGCTGTCTTAGCTGCCATTGCAGCATCAGCGTTGTTGTTGAGACCGGAGCCATATTCACGTAATTGTTGTCATTCGAGTCGCTGGACCGCCGCATCATCTTGGCTGCCAGGTGCGGAAAACTCGACGACAGCTGCTGCTTGTGAAAGGACAGGCCAGTCGGTCGACTCATCCTGACTCTTTCTCTCTCTCTCTCTCTCTCTCTCTCTCTCTCTCTCTCTCTCTCTCTCTCTCTCTCTCTCTTTCTTTCTTTCTCTCTTGTTTTCAGTTCAAAATTCTGATCAACAGCAAGAAGAGTCGAATACGTCAGCTGAAGCAACAAGGTGAGCAAAACTAACTTCTTAGCTACACAATGCTCCGGTACTTATAGACCTCTGTGGTTCGGTAGCTACACTGTCGTAGCTGAAGGGCAGTACATGTACATCTGCCCTGGCTCTGTGAAGGGAAAACACACACACCGCCTAGAGGAACTATCCCACTGTGCCTTGTGTGTACTGCGGTTTTAGTTTCCCGAGCTCACTTCCTAGTCCCTCGGGCTTTGCTGATGCTAACAAATCAGTGACAATACTCACATGTGCATGCTAGCATCCTGCAGGAAAGTGTGAGTGGGCTCTGAGGGGTACTGGGGGAATAACCTGGCTCCACAAAACCCTTCCTCCGGCAGGATGGATTGTATTGTTCGCTGGTGAATATGTTCCTTTACTGGCGACGTGGGTTACTTCTTGGCACAGGTAATTGACTTGTGTGTGTGTGTGTGTGTTTGTATATGTGTCTGTTTTAACGGTGTGTGTTTGTGTGTGTATGTGTGTGTGGGCCTGTCCACCTTCCATATGCGTTGCGTCCGCTCCATCCTTGGTGTGTCGAGACAGCAGATGTGGGATGCCCACATCAGCAATGCTGAACTATTGCGTATGTGGGGCGATCAGGAGACCATCACCTGTAAGCTTCGGCATCGTCGGCTAGAGTGGCTAGGTCACCTGGCGCGCATGGATGACACCCGCATGCCGAAGTGCCTTCTGTTTGGCCAGCTCCCACCTGTCAGACCTGCCCATGGACCAAGGAAACGGTGGAAGGACTGCGTGTCGTTCGATCTTCGCCATAACCAAATTGTGAACTGGTACCAGACCGCTAACACATCTCGCATGGAATGGCGATGAAGATACCAAGACCAGGATAAGGAACTGCCCGCAGCAGCCCCCGTTGAGTGCCCCATCTGTGGAAAGGTCTGCTCTAGACCAAGCGATCTTAAGCGCCACAAGTGCACAGCGGAGCGTCACAAGTGCACAGCGGAGCGTCGCGCAAGCCAGTCCAACAGCAGCGTGGTGCATGTCAATGCACAGATTGTGGGAAATAGTATCGTAGCAGAGGTGGACTCGCTGTGCACAGTTGTCAGCCTACCTCAATCGCTAGCCAGCCCGCTCCCGCTCCTTGTAGATCTCGCCAGAACCGCCCAACAACGGATGAACGTGCCAAGTTTCCACTACTGTATCAGCACTGCTCTCGGAGATTCCGGCAGTCCAGGGACCTGACTCGGCACCGGCGTGTTTGCTCCTCTCCCTCCTTCCGCAATGGGACCACGTAACCGTTGCGGCAGTGGGTCAACAGGACAGGACAGGATGTGTGTGTGTGTGTGTGTGTGTGTGTGTGTGTGTGTGTGTGTGTGTGTGTGTGTGTGTGAGTGTGTGTGTTTGTGTATGTGTCAGTGTGTGTGTGTGTGTGTATGTATTTGTGTGTACATATGCTTGTAAGTTTGTGTTCCTCCGTTGTCCTTGTCTCTGTGTTGTTTCTTCAGTGGATGATGCACGCGAGGAAGCTTCACAGGCCTCTGGTAAGTTGTGTACAGTGCACTCCTTGTCAGTTTCGTGCTAGATTGTGCACGTCTGACTGTTCAAAATCTGGTTTAGTTGGTGGACTCGATCGCATGCATAGCTTGTGGCCACGTTTATCTATGTTAATACAGTGTACACTGTAGTAAAAAATCTTTTCTTTTTTGACTTTGTTTCATTTTGCGAATCCAAACGGGAATTTCTTCCCAATAAGGGGCTATCTGGCATTATCGATAATTTTCACGAAACGAAAAAGTTTAGTTAGGACCCCCCCCCCCCCCCCCGAATGAAAAATAGATTAACTTGACAGCAAGAATGCCTTGATGTCTCACATATCAATATTTTTCCAAACGAAACTCCCCTTGACCCACCCATCCATAAACGAAACTTTTTCTCTTCGTGTAAAAGATCGATAACTATGGACGGCCTCTAACAAGGTACAGTAGCGAAGAGGGAAGAAAAAATAGAAAAAAGTGGGTATTCACGGGAAATGATAGTCAGCCAGCTGGAGATCAATAGTACGGATCCATTGTCGAAAACATGGCATTGCAAGTACCGTATTGAGCAAGGAATACAGCAGGCACAGTCAGACTGTTGTTCAGATCTATCAACAGGGGTGATGTGATTCATTATAGTGAAATTCTAACGAATTGCATCTCAAAACCGGCACTGAATGACTGTTCATGTACACATAGCGACTTCAAATGTTTTAACGAATTTTTTAAATTCATTAAATCGTTAGACTCAAATGTTCGTTAACATTACTGGTCTTGCAGTGTTGGTGTTAGTGAGAGATAGTGGCAACGACTTCGGCAATGATTTCATAGGAAAGTTGTTTGCTCCCCACGCCGGAGCCCCCACTTTCCGCCGACTTGACTTGACGTTAGTGAGCCATTGCAAAGTAACTTGCCTTCTTCCCGGAGCCCAGCTCAACAATGACCAGGTGCATGCAGCCAATGCATCTCCAAAGCAACAAGGCATGCTTAGCAGTCGTGGAGAAATCACGTAGAGCGAAACCCAACATCGCGGATTTTCACGTATGAAAATTACGTGCAGTTCATGCGTTATTGTCATACAGTCAGACCTCACTTAACCGCACGCATCCGTTTTCCACAAAAATATCCGGATAGGCGAGCATTGGTTACATTGGATGCATCACGTATGCTGTAGATCTGTAAGCAGCTATTTTCTTCCGGATGGCGAGGGATCCGGATAAAGGAGGACCGGATAAGCGAGGTCTGACTGTTCGTTATTACAAGTACGTAGAATGAAATCTCCCTAATGAAAGCAGTTCTCGAGTCTACTGTCAATTAAAAAAACTTTCCCTACAGATCAAGTATTAAACATAGTTTCGCTATTTTCGCGACCATCACACACCCATACACGAATTTAAATCTCCGCAAACTTCACTATGCATTGATTGTAGACAATTTTTATGATCCAACTGACGAGATAAATCGCGAAAGCTACTCATCGTGAACTGAAGCCATTCTGGAAAATGCTAAAATTGCACGCCGTGAAAGTTTACACAAGAGAGATTGGAAGCTGTGTCCCAACTCTGAGTTTCACGTATTACAGCAGAGCTTCCAATATCTCTCTTGTGTGCAAGGCTCTACCCTACATGGGTATTGAGCACTCTTCGGACAGTGAAGCACACCGCTTGATTACGCCATGAAAGTTTCTCACTTTACAGTAGTCTGTTCACAGTGTCACCGAGGGAGGTGCACACTAGGAAGCTGTTGCACATCTCTCACCTGACCATGCGGGACGGCCATGTTGGTTCCTTCAAGCCTTGCTTCAGCTCCTTCTCTGCCATGATCAAGTTGCTACACAGCTCCTCCTGCTTTCCAGGTGGGCTGCATCACTGGAGAGAAGCCACTCACCCTGCACAAGCCTTCATTAGTCTAGTGCTGTGTGCTCCTCATCGTGGAGTGATACCTTTCCCCGTGTACATCAACAGGTGTGTTGATGTGTTCCGCGACAAAGTGCAGTGGGTCCATGCTTTGGGGCGGCCTGCATCACTGGAGAGAAGCCAGTCACCTTGCGAGAGCAGGAGTGTGTGTGTGTGTGTGTGTGTGTGTGTGTGTGTGTGTGTGTGTGTGTGTGTGTGTGTGTGTGTGTGTGTGTAGTTCCTCATCGTAGAGTAACGTTAGAACATGCACCAATGTAAGCTGCATGGCACCCTTCACGCCTCGCTTCAGCTCCTTCTCTGCCATGATCAAGTTGCTGCAGACCTTGCACGCTGATTCCATACACCACTGCCACAGGTTATGTCTGACAGCTAGATACATTATCCTCGGCTTCGTGAATGTTGAAAAATATTTTCTCGGGTCGAAGTCAGCTCTCCACTGTCTACAACACAGCATGATCGCATGTGCATGGACAGGATGTGACTGTGATACAGCTCTCCTTGAAGGCAGCAAAGTTCTTCTGTCGCCAATGCCATCGCTCGTCAGTCTCGGGCCAGAAAAATTAAATTTCAGAAGCTACGAATTCAACGCAATCCAATCTGCCTCGACCAAGACTACTAGAGGGCATCTGATTTGACAAGGTATATCAGTAGGACTTGGAAAAGTCACAGTAACAGTTTTCAAGATTACTAACCATTACAACAAGTATCAAAACATCAGAACAAACACCTTGTAGATCCACAATTTCAGATTTGAATCATCATCATTCAATCCTCGATCTACAAATAATTACAGATTCCCTTTCCCGCCAGCTGCATGCTCTCACCAGGCCGGGAGTCGTCAAAAATTTAATACCGGTACTGGACGACTCCCTGGCTCTCACTTCTTAGCCAGCTCACATGCACACATCGACTTGTCTCATGTCTCACACGTCTGGCCATCCCAAGCTGATGTCTCAGCACACGTGTGTTTAAATGTTTTTTTGCTGGGAAAGTCGGTAAAAGTTAACCGAGGGTCCCTTCAGTCCTTCGCCAGTCAATCCCAGGGAGTCGTAAAATGCCGTATTTTACGACTCCCTAGTCAATCCCTGCATCTATGTGTGTATGTGTGTGTGCGTGCGCTTGCGTGCGTGTGTGCATGTGTGTGTGTGCGTGCGTGCGTGCGTGCGCGTGTGTGTGTGTGTGCTTTCCTAGCTCTGGCTGCAAAGCATGCAGAAGCAGCAGCAGCAGCATCAAGTGCCAGCGGTGCTGGTGGTGACGAAGTAGATGGGGAGACTGCACTAATGAGAGAAGACTCTGCGAGTAGCTCATCTTGGGTAAGGAAGCCTTGATGTGACCTTACCGACCTGGTCCATTTTCCGATTGCTCTCCCTGCCCTGCTCTCCATTCCAGGTTATCCATGCCAAGCTATTAGGCCCAGACGGATAATGCCAGTTATTTTCGGCAATTATGCTACTAGCACTGCTAGTAAAAGTGGCACATTATGCTAGTTTGAATGCTCGTTATGCTCAATTTAATGCCACTTTATATGGGATCAAAAAAGTGTGATGCACTTCACGCGACTCCATAAACATTTACGGTGTGTAAATTTTATTTAAAAAACTTGGTGCTCTGCTTACCTTGTGTACATTGCTCTCCATGCAACACAATAGGCTAGTACCGTAAAGTACCATTGATCCGTCCCCGCTCTAATTACCTAATTTGCCAGGTTATGCTAGAGCAATGCTAGTTTCCAGAATGTGCTAAATATGCTACTTCGAAGTAGATATAATGCTAGCATGTTCCACCGGTGCCTACCAGCTATCCATGCCCGGTTATCCATGCACAGCTATCCATGCACAGCTATCCATGCACAGCTATCCATGCACAGCTATCCATGCCCGGTTATCCATGCCTGGCTATCCATGCCTGGCTATCCATGCCTGGCTATTCATGCCTGGCTATCCATGCCTGGCTATCCATGCCTGGCTACCCATGCCTGGCTATCCATGCCTGGCTATCCATGCCTGCCTATCCATGCCTGGCTCGGCTTTTGTTGGCAATGTCTACAATTTTACTATTTCCATGAAAACATAAAGTAGATTGTATTACTTGAACTAATCGCTCTAGATCTTGTAGTAGGATTGGATTTACAGCATCATCTTATGTGTTTGTGTGTTGGGGAAGGGGAGTGTGGGGTGGGGCTGGGGGAGGGGGCTGGGGGCAAGGGGAAGGGGAGGGGGATGGATAAGTACATGAATCTCAAATGAACTACCGTAAAAGCCCGTGTATAGGCCCGGACGTTATTTTGGAACCGGGCGTATACTTGGAATAGGGATAGCAGTAAGTATTGGGTATCAGTACCTGTACATGTACTGGTGTTCCGGTATATCTGGGGGTACACATGGGCATGGGCGATATTCTGAAAGAAAAGTGTTGACTTCCCCTGACTGGGCGTGTACACGGAGGGTGGGCGTAATTTCGAGTGGGCGTATACAGGGGCTTTTAGGCCCTTATCACACTGCGTTCAAAAGTCGCGTTTGCGTCTGCGTTTTCTTCGGTTTTTGACGGTCGCCTAGGAAATGCCATCACGTGACATTATCGCGAGCGCGTTGGTTTCCAGACGCACAGCCGCAGCCGCAGACGCAAACTAGGGGGGGGGGGGGGGGGGGTGGTCAAAACCGAATCGCGTAAACGCAGATCGGACTTTCTTTATCGCAGCACTTCCTGCATTGTTTTTGAGTGTTTTCAAGTGATTCTCAAGTGTGCTTTTCAAATCTTCATTTCCATCTAGTTGCTGAGGCCGGCGAGGGTACTTCTACTACATGTACTGATTGATTGATTTTGGATTCGCGAGGCATGGAGCTGATGCGAGCTCGTGGCTGTCTGGCTGAGGTTGCGCTGACTAGTTGGCGGCGACTAGCCTAGCTGGACGATGTGCCTCAACAACGGAACTGCTACCCCAACACAGGCAACGCAACGGCTGCAGTCTTCCCATCGACTCCCATTCCCCCCAGCACCACTGACAAAGGACATAGGAGCAGAAACAGTACACTTCTCGATCTCAGGAAAATAAATTCAACATCCACTGCCACCTCGAGATCGATTCCCCGCATTTTTGTATTTTCCCCGCGCGCACAGATTTTGACGCAAACGCGCTGAAAATCACAAGTATAGTATGATATCACGTCTTGCATTTTCCAATCTCAAACGCAAACGCAAACGCGGCTCAAACAAACGCAGTGTGATAACGGCCTTACGGTATTGTGACTTTTCAATTATCACGAAATCTCATTTACAGTAATTTCAGTTCCTATTTTATTTTGGCCTGGTTCTGACTGTTTTAGGGTTCAAGTGCCAGCCGCAGCTTGCCACGTAAGCACTCAGTCGTTGCCAGCACACAGCTCCTGGAGGATGAAGAAGAAGACTTGACAACGAAGCCGCCAGCTAAACGGTAATGGCCCATGCGATTGCGGTGCTCGCCACCTCCATTTCCATTCGCCATTCTCCACAACTGTCTGGTCTTCAAAATCATGGTGTAGTTCATCATTGACTGTGGCCACAACAATGTTTTGATTTCGTACCGTACTTTCTGGAGTACAAACTGCACCCAGATATTTGTCACGAAATACAGACTTTTCACCCTTTTATCATCGTTAATTTGCCCACCATTGTATAAGCCACATCACTGACTTTTTTAGGATGAAGTACTAGTGTTTTAAATTGTGGCTTATACTGTGGAAAATGCGGTGCTTTGTTATGTAACATGCGGTGTTCTTCTGCTGGTGTTTTCTTTATGCAGTCGACGACGGCGCGAATCTGGTACAGCGACTCGCCAGGCGAACATTCCTCTTCCACCGTCCATGTCCACACAACCCACGAGTAGACCAGGGTCATCGTTACGCAGCAGGTAACGTTGTGTTTGCTATTGTTGCCACTGTTGCTATTGTTGCCACTGTTGCTATTGTTGCTATTGTTGCTATTGTTGCTATTGTTGCTATTGTTGCTATTGTTGCTATTGTTGCTATTGCTGCTTTTAGTGCTACCGACGTACAGTAAACGCCGTGCTTAGCAACCACCACCATAAGAAACCGCCTGTTGAAATGTTGCGCAATATTGCGCAATGTTGCGCAATGTTCGGGCATGCTGGGAGAGTAAATGCAAGGTGGGCGGGGGATGGGGGGGGGGGGGAGGGGCTAGATCCAGGAAGGCCTCTTTTGTTGTTGTGCATCACTACTGATTCACTAGCATGGCAAAGTGACAGTACTCTAGACTACAGCGTGATGGGTGTGGAGTGTGAAGTGACAGGGCCCAATATCCTGGTGGTGCGAGATGGCAGACGGACAGTGATTATACATTATATTATTGGTTTTTGCGAGTACGTGCACCAACAAACTGTGCTCTTTGTGTCGCAATCTTGCTTGCACACCATGCACCTTTTCTCTTCTTTTTTTTCTCCGAAATCTGTTCATTTCCCGTCTTTTTCCTTTCCCCTCTTTCCCAGGAGGACAATGGCCACTATTGACGCTGAAGCTGTTGATGCCGCTGGTGGAGATGATGGAAACCAGCTAGATGAAATCCTCAATGACATGTAGACCAAAGTTACTATGGCGACATGTAGACCAACGTTGCCATGGTCACATGCTGACCAATAAACAATTACAAAACATGACAGTGGCCCTGGGCCTGGGCTACTCAAGTCTGTTTGGTATCTTTTCTCACGTTCGCCATTTTTATCTGAAGGTGCAGAATATTCTTTCATACGCGCACACATGCACACATGCACACACACACACACACACACACACACACACACACACACACACACACACACACACACACACACACACACACACACACACACACACACACACACACACACACACACACACACACACACTACTACTATTACTACTATTGACAGCTGCCAGAAATTGGCCACGCCGCTCCCAAATGGGAGGTACTGTCAGAGAGGTTAGAGGGGAGGAAGGCAATGCTCCAAGTGGCGATCCAGATCTTGCCGCCTCCGGAACCGTCGGTTGTGGCAAACTTACACACATACACACACACACACACACACACACACACGCGCGCGCGCGCGCCAGGACTACCATGCACACTGTGTTGGGTGCCGATGTGTCCGCAAGCCCCCCCCCCCCCCCCCCCCCCCCCCAAACGAATAACCCGCATTGGAGGTCCTTATAATTATGCATACTGTATCAACTCGGCAGTTATTAGATTGAAAAGCCCATGAAACACACACACACCACTCTCATGTTGTTTCAGTAACAATGTTTTACTCTTGTTTGTATAGTTGTGTTGTGGATAGTTGTCGCAGGTCGACCACCGTTAGTTATGGTGTAGTTTTTTTCTAGCCGTTTTCGCTTTGTGTTTGGAAGTGCAAATATTTTGGAATGCGTTTTAAAAGTCAAGTCTGTGTTGGCTGTACATCTGAGCTGCATGTCTCTCCTCTGTTATGCTGGTGATGTTATTCGTTTGCACCTTTTCCATCCGCTGCCTCAGCTAAGTTACTACAATCATGCACTCGTACCATTATAGTGAGACAGCTCCGACATACATGTACATTCAATGCACCTGACTGTGCATGTATGGAGCCGGCGGGTCTCACTATGGTACGAGTGCAACGCGAGTGTGAGACGAACGCTCGTTCATAGTGCGTGAGGATTTATAGAATGGCTCTGCAGGAAGCCTTGCATCTGCAAGTGCACACCTAGCATATGCCTCTGCATGCATTGTTCGTTGGCTGCGCCGAGTCGCAGTGGAATTCGTCTTGTGCTCGTTTCGTCACAGAACACGAAAGCTCCCTACATGACATTGTACTACATGACACTTACAACAGTGTGTGACGTCATTGTGTGACGTCATTGTGTGATAGTCTGACCCTGAGATTCATGTCAAGGTCCTGTTTCAGAGTTTTTAGTTTTTGTTTCACGGGGGGGGGGGGGGGGGGGGGTACTTCCTCCGGAAATAAGAAACGTCGTGACTTTGACAGACCGGTCTCTGTTGTGGAGCTTTGAGGAATCGAGCCATAGTGACTCTCAGGTACTACATAGACTCAAACAATTTTGCTGGTTGAACCCCGGGTTTCATGTAGATCTACTCTTGGACCATACAAGTAAAGTAGTTAGTTACAGTCAAGGATACAATCATGTACCGAAATTCTGACTACTTTAGTACTTACTCGTAGACTCTACTTGTACGAAAATGTGTGCGCCTTGTCACCATGTACCAGGTCACCGGCTGCATGCCTAGCCTAGCCTGTGGAGTGTGGTTGTGCAACGCAGGGAGTCGTCAAATGACGACTCCCTGGTGCAACGCTACATTTATGTGCATGACTTTGTGCATAATAATGACCGAGTCGTACAACTCGTACTATTTCAGTATTTGCAATGCTTGGGTGCACCGCGCTAAAGTGCACTTTGCACCGCGATACCGATCGGGGCGCGGTCGACCCCAACCCCGGCCCACTGCACCGCGCGCTTACTCCAGACTAGGTTGCCATGGTTACTGTTCATCAAAGCTTGGCTTGATCTGAGTTGAGACTGGATCGCGCATCAGTGGCACCATGCATGCATGAATCTCAAGGCGCGCCGCGCGTTCCGCGATCCGCCCGGCGCCCGTGGTCCGTGTACTGCACTGGCCTCGGCATACGACAGACGTAGACCGTGACCGGTATTGAAGACTCGGATATCCGGTATCTACGAGTGTACACAGTGTATGCTGCACTGTTTCGTTTTGTGGGGAGAAGAAATGACCTGATGACCGATGAAGTGAAAGTTTTGGACTGGATGGTAATGGTCGCTTGAGTTTGTTTGTCATTGTAGATAAATGTAGGCTCTTCGAATGTAGGCTCTTCGAATGTAGGCTCTTCGAATTTCAAGTTGACTATCAGTTGCCGTTGCTCGAACCGTAGCTGTGTTGGTGATGCCATCCACCTGCGTGTGTGCAGAGCAGCTGTACCAATGTTACGCTGGCCAAATTGATGGTTTTCCAACACCGATGAACGCCCAGAGTAAGTTTAGAATGGGTCTGCTGCCCTTGGATGGCTGTCATGGATATGTCAATTGTTTCAGGAAGTACTCTATAGAATGTTGAGGTGTTTTCATGTGTCTCTATGCACGCACAACGAAAGCGGAGCACTTCTCTCAATGTAAAATGTTTGTGAAACTGAGAACTTGGGATTTAGAGTATTTTCAAGCTTATGTTTTGGTCTTTTGCCAAATTTGGACAATAACACTGCACTCGCATGGCATTGCAAGAAGGTTATTATGCATAGTGTTTGCGCATGAATAAAAGTATCATGCCTTTCCAGAGTGTACCCTCGCTCGTGTACTGGTTGGATCGATTTATTTGGGTTGGAGAGAGAGAGAGAGAGGTGTTTCACACACACACACACACACACACACACACACACACACACACACACACACACACACACACACACACACACACACACACACACACGCACACACACACACACACACACACATACACACACACACACACACACACACACACACACACACACATACATGTACATGTACATACATGACTGTACAGGCATGCACTCCCTTGCTGACACTGCATAGACACTGCATAGACACTGCATAGACACTGCATAGACACTGCATAGACACTGCATAGACACTGCATATTGCAGTGTGATATCAGCTGTATTATGCACAGTCTGCTGTGAACTGTAGCCGTGTGATGGTCCATGGTCTATGGTGCAAGAGAGTCTCTTACACATCACCAACGATAGCGCTATTCACAGCTCACAGCACCGTGACGTGAGCACTCAACCTGGCAGTAGTGCGCTGTGCATTGATTGCGCACGGACGTTGCGCTAGTCTACTGTAGCGGACATTCAAATCCGCTGAGAAGTCAAGCGGCCACGGGGTGCTGGCCTCGCCGCCACCAGCACTGCTGGTCCATGTTTACAGTGTGTACATGAACCACAGTGAACCACAGTGAACCACAGTGCATGTACAACTTCGCTAATAACGACTGCGGATATAACGACAATTCGCGGATAACGACAGAATTTCCATGCCCAGAGCAAAGTCACATCCAACTGTAATACATATAATGGGACTTCGGGTATAACGACACTTCGCGAATGAGGACACTTTTCTGCTGCCCCGCCGAGTGTCGTTATACGCGAAGTTTACTGTACACGCTAAAAGTAGTATAAAGGGCGCCTGCCCCGGTCATCCCATCAGATTTCAATCAGTCCACGACAGTATGTGCCTACTTCTGCATGTTTTCATGTTGGGTTCCTGTATGATTGGGCTAATTGTATTGCCTGGCAAGAAAGCTGCATTGCTCTGGTCTGCTTGAGAGTACTAGTAACTGAAACTGATACAAACCAACGCTGACACACATACCGTAGTAGAGGTCAGCGCATGCACAATCTCGATGTGCCGGAGATCCTGTCCACTTTTCTTCTGTGAGTGCTATAATGCTGCTCTCTGGCTCGTGAAAAGCATACGTCAGGCCCGGTGGAACCGGTCCTGTTAGTCAGGCCCTGGCCAGACCAGCCGTCTGACTACCAACTCGTGAGTTGGTCATATGCAACCACCAATTCCCCATATCATGCCCACTGTGTAAAGGGCTATATCATACCCACTGTGTAAAGGGCTACAGTGTGGCCGGAACAATCCAGAACTGCGTCCGCCAGTACGGTACTTGGATGTCCAAGGAGAATACCGAACCGCATGTTGGGAGATTTCACTGTGCGCGAACCACATAGCAAACCTTGTAGCATCTAAAAAGTTGCACATCCTTCTGCAAGTACCATCCCTACCAGCACCAGTAGCAGCGCCACAGCTTCACTCTAGTCTCTACTGCCTTAGTAGACTACACAGTGTTGCTCAATGAAATCCGATGAAGCAGACCAATGCCACGCTGGGCGATGTGCATCCCTAGGCCTGCCAGCACTGGGGTATAAATCGATGCATGGCGCAAACTTGACTCAATTCCATCGGATGTCATTGAACAGCGTTGCATACCCCCCCCCCCTCCCCCCACACACACACATGCTCAGACATGATGAACCAGCAAATCTACCTCAATGTGATGTGTATGTCATGATTGTCTGTGTGTGTGTGTTTTCTGTATGTTCCTTGAAGGTGGAGTTCGTGATGTTTTCACGTTTTTTCCCTAAAAAACATCGTGGAGGTGAGTTATATTGCACGGAGAAATGTAGTGTACAGTAGTGTAGTGTACAGTAGTGTAGTGTACAGTAGTGTAGTGTACAGTAGTGTAGTGTACAGTAGTGTAGTGTACAGTAATGTAGTGTACAGTAATGTAGTGTACAGTAGTGTAGTGTACAGTAGTGTAGTGTACAGTAGTGTAGTGTACAGTAGTGTAGTGTACAGTAGTGTAGTGTACAGTAATGTAGTGTACAGTAATGTAGTGTACAGTAGTGTAGTGTACAGTAGTGTAGTGTACAGTAGTGTAGTGTACAGTAGTGTAGTGTACAGTAGTGTAGTGTACAGTAATGTAGTGTACAGTAGTGTAGTGTACAGTAGTGTAGTGTACAGTAGTGTAGTGTACAGTAGTGTAGTGTACAGTAGTGTAGTGTACAGTAGTGTAGTGTACAGTAGTGTAGTGTACAGTAGTGTAGTGTACAGTAGTGTAGTGTACAGTAGTGTAGTGTACAGTAGTGTAGTGTACAGTAGTGTAGTGTACAGTAGTGTAGTGTACAGTAGTGTAGTGTACAGTAGTGTAGTGTACAGTAGTGTAGTGTACAGTAGTGTAGTGTACAGTAGTGTAGTGTACAGTAGTGTAGTGTACAGTAGTGTAGTGTACAGTAGTGTAGTGTACAGTAGTGTAGTGTACAGTAGTGTAGTGTACAGTAGTGTAGTGTACAGTAGTGTAGTGTACAGTAGAAAGTCCACGGCTTTTCCCTCAGCAAGGCTGGCTTTCGCGACGCCATCCATGTTCGCTATGGCTGGGTCCCCCCAATGCTGCCGTCCACCTGCGTCTGTGGTCAGGCATTCAGCACCGCGCATGCCCTGTCGTGCCCTATTGGAGGGTATCCGTCACTCCGGCATAACGAGCTGCGAGACATCACCGCCTCACTGCTTTCACGCGTCGCACATGACGTAAGTGTGGAGCCGTCTCTCCAGCCACTTTCCGGGGAACGGATGAGGTATCGTACTGCAATCAGCGAGGATGGCGCCCGCCTAGATGTTGCTGCCAGCGGGGTGTGGGGCGGCCGTTTCGAGAGGACATTCTTTGATGTCCGGGTATTTAACCCTTTTGTCCGATCGAACACCGCTCCCTCCCTCAACAGCACGTTCACTAAGCACGAGAAGGAGAAACGGCGACACTATGAAGAGCGTGTTAGGGAAGTAGAGAAGGCATCGTTCGTCCCCTTGGTGTTTTGTGCCTCCGGTGGTCAAGGCAAGGCTGCCTCTGCTTTCCTCAAGCGCATTGCATCAATGCTGGCTGAGAAGCGGAAGGAACCGTTCTCCATGGTGATGGCTCACCTTCGTTGCCGCCTAGGGTTTGCCCTCATCAGATCGGCGATTGCAAGCTTAAGAGGTCATCGATCCAGGCGAGCACCTTTGGATCAGCAGCTGGAGTGCCCCTCAGCTCTAGTGAATGCTGAGTGTCGTCTGGGTTAACCCTCACCTCTTGTTATATGGCTGTATTGTTTTCGCTATTAGTTAGTTTTCTTTGTTATGATTTCTTTTTTTCTTTTTCTTTTTTACCAGGCGGTGGCCATCCCCTGAATTCATAGGTGCCAAACATTCTTTTTTCTTTAGTTTTCTTTGTTAATATGATTTCTTTTTTTCTTTTTCTTTTTCTTTTTACCAGGCGTGGGCCATCCCCTGAATTCATAGGTGCCAGACATTCTCTTTTTTTCTTTCTTTTTTCTTTTTACCAGGCGTGGGCCATCCCCTGAATTCATAGGTGCCAAAAAAAAAAAAAAAAGTGTACAGTAGTGTAGTGTACAGTAGTGTAGTGTACAGTAATGTAGTGTACAGTAGTGTAGTGTACAGTAGTGTAGTGTACAGTAGTGTAGTGTACAGTAGTGTAGTGTACAGTAGTGTAGTGTACAGTAATGTAGTGTACAGTAGTGTAGTGTACAGTAGTGTAGTGTACAGTAGTGTAGTGTACAGTAGTGTAGTGTACAGTAGTGTAGTGTACAGTAGTGTAGTGTACAGTAGTGTAGTGTACAGTAGTGTAGTGTACAGTAGTGTAGTGTACAGTAGTGTAGTGTACAGTAGTGTAGTGTACAGTAGTGTAGTGTACAGTAGTGTAGTGTACAGTAGTGTAGTGTACAGTAGTGTAGTGTACAGTAGTGTAGTGTACAGTAGTGTAGTGTACAGTAGTGTAGTGTACAGTAGTGTAGTGTACAGTAGTGTAGTGTACAGTAGTGTAGTGTACAGTAGTGTAGTGTACAGTAGTGTAGTGTACAGTAGTGTAGTGTACAGTAGTGTAGTGTACAGTAGTGTAGTGTACAGTAGTGTAGTGTACAGTAGTGTAGTGTACAGTAGTGTAGTGTACAGTAGTGTAGTGTACAGTAGTGTAGTGTACAGTAGTGTAGTGTACAGTAGTGTAGTGTACAGTAGTGTAGTGTACAGTAGTGTAGTGTACAGTAGTGTAGTGTACAGTAATGTAGTGTACAGTAGTGTAGTGTACAGTAGTGTAGTGTACAGTAGTTTATACTGAGCTTGTATACAAACTCCCATCTCTCCCCACACAACACTCCAGACTTGTATTTTGCATATAACAGGTACTTCGATGACGAGAATATAAACTGGTATATAAACTGGTATATAAACTGGTATATAAACTGGTGTATAAACTGGTGTATAAACTGGTATATAAACTCCTTTTTTTTTAGGATTACACTAGTGACCTGCAGTCCGCCTTGATGGTTTTTCGACATGCACGACGGTCCCAACTTCAGGATCTCTTTCCCGTCAACGATGAAGAATACAACGTCGTCCTTTGTAACATGTGCCTTGTGCTGCACCTGACGTTCGAGGCTGTCCTTCTTTCGCTGTTTCAGCACTCCGTCTGTCAAGCGCAGCACTCGACATGTGCGGCTGAAGAGCCCCGCGTGCCGCTCCTCCTGCGTTTTTGCATGGACATAGAATGCAGATAGCAGGGCTAGGGGCGACGGAACTTCACTACTGATGGTTTTCCAATCGATGTTCTCCTTTCCGCGTCCCTCGCAGAGCGGACGGAACATGCGCAGCCATAATCCGTGGCACTGCCAGTGTTCTTAGAAACTGCTGCTTGAATAATGGCATCGTGATCCGTGGTCGTCCTCAGAAGAACTAAAGAAACGTTTGGGAGTCGATTCAACAGGCTCGTGCTGATTCATTTTACTCTTACTTTGGAAAGGAGACGAACTCTATCATAGTCTATGTCTCTAATGATAGTAATGTATCAATGAACAAACGGTTCTTTTACAAAGCCCGCGGTGAGATCTGCGCGCGGTAACGGTCACTAGCACTGTGAGGTTCAAACTAACTTACTTGGCGCATAGCTGTTACTTCCGATGTAACTAGTACTTCAGTACTGAAGTCACAAAGAGTGTGTGATGCACTGATGGTACTGCACTGCATGTACTGCACAGAGTCAGTGGTAGTCTTGTACTTGATCCGCACAGGTTGGTGAAAGGAAGACTCGTCGAGCCATGGTTGTGGGTTGGAATTCCAATCTCTACCCTTGTGGGGGAGAGGGGAGTTTGTATATCAGCTCAGTATAAGCATAATATTACCTACTCAGTTGATTATATGGGAAATATAAACCAATATACAAACCTCGGCTTCGCCTCGGTTTGTATACAGGTTTATATTTCCCATATAATCAACTGGTTAGGTTATATTATATACGTAGTGTACAGTAGTGTAGTGTACAGTAGTGTAGTGTACAGTAGTGTAGTGTACAGTAGTGTAGTGTACAGTAGTGTAGTGTACAGTAGTGTAGTGTACAGTAGTGTAGTGTACAGTAGTGTAGTGTACAGTAGTGTAGTGTACAGTAGTGTAGTGTACAGTAGTGTAGTGTACAGTAGTGTAGTGTACAGTAGTGTAGTGTACAGTAGTGTAGTGTACAGTAGTGTAGTGTACAGTAGTGTAGTGTACAGTAGTGTAGTGTACAGTAGTGTAGTGTACAGTACTTGCAGAATGAGGTACAGTGTACAGTCAGCTCCTGACTTAACCAACACCATTGTGTAGGAGAATTAGTTCTGTGTAGCTGAAAATGCACTCACAATGTACAAGCAACACATCCTGACAGACATGTGGCCCATGACTGCGCCTACCGTAAAGTACCGTTGATCCGCCCCCTCTCTAATTGCCGCCCCCTGTCGATTTTCTGCCTGTGAAGCAACTTCGGCGAATACAACGAAATACGATGTTGAACCGACGCATGCACTGCTGTACACACTACGTGCCAATCCAGGATGAAAATGTGGACAATCCAGCACATCGAGCCTGAACTTCCACGTTGTTGTACATCGTACTGCACTTGACAGCCTTGATCTAATTCCCGCCCCTGTTGAAAACCCAGCTGAGAAGCGACATGGCGTGGGGGCGGATCAACGGTACTTTACGGTAGTTCACATGCGGCCCTACAAGATATGGTTCTTTATAAATGAAAACTGTTCGTTACAAGGGGTCTATTTTTGTATGGTTTCAAACAGGGACATGGACAATAGTCAGTACTGGACAATAGTTATAAATGAAGTCGACCGTACATGTAATAGCTATGGTGATGCATGTAATGCAGGGCAATCCTGTGTGGGACCGTACTGCATGCACCCGATGAAGCATTCTTCCTGAGCTTCTTGGTATTGCTCCAACGTCGGCCATTGCTGGTTGACTCTGAAGGGGCGGAGCAGCGGTGTTGAGTTTCCAGTGAAAAAAGGTAGCCCAAGGTCAATTCTGACAGTTGGGACCGGCAGGAGGTGCTACAGACCTCCTGTTTCAATGAGCTCAACGTACCTTTCACCGGCAGTGAGCTCCCCACTCAAGAACAAAGTGCTGCTAGCTGGTCTGCAGTACTGTCGGTCGCCGAAGAACTGGGGGTGGGGGTCAGACTCCTAGCCTAGACCGACAGTACTGTAATGCTAAATGTGACCCTAGTACACTCAGGTCAGGCACGTAGCTTGTGCATAGTCAGCGTAGTCCCGGTCCGGTCACCACACCAGCAGATAGCCGTCACAGGTACTACATAGTCGAAATAGGCAAAATGGCAGCTGCGAGGTTGCCGGTGGTGCATGGTCACCACACCACGGATGTTCGAGCGCCGCCCCTGCCGGTGTTTGCACCGTATGACCTTGGCTTACAATATAGGTGCACTTGGCCGTTGCCCTCTACCCTTGTGCACAGTAGCACTGTAGCACAGTAGCATGCATTGCCATTGCCATTGCCTGCTTTGCTTCTGATCAGGGAGTACTGTATTTTCCAGAGTGTAAGCCACACTGGAGTATTTTATTTATTTATTTATTACAGCATCTCATAGCACAGTGAGAACACCGGCCAATGCAAAGAGAGAGGGTGTTAGCCAACCACGGCAAGGAAGGGAGAAGGGGAGGAGAAGAAAAAGGAACCGGCATGGATAAGCAGTGATTGCAACAAAATGAGAAAGTATTAGCCACATCGGAGTATAGGCCGCACTCCCCCCCCCCCTTTTTTTTGCCACGAAATACAGACATCTATCCTATTTAAATTCGGATACTGAGCCAGTAATAAAATGTAAAAAAAGAAGAAACACATGAGAACGAGTTATCGCTGAATGTCTCAGTAGCCTGTCAGTTTTGTGCCCTGTTATCGCACTTTCTGACCGTTTATCATCTTGTTACAGTCGTGGATAGTTGCTGCATAACTCGTTCTCATGTGTTTCTTCTCTTTTTTACATCTACTGTAAAAGCCATATATATAATGAAGTGCTAACTCTAACGAGGTAACAAGGAGAAATCTGTCGTTAAAATAGAAATTGTTATACAGAAATCGATACATATACTGTCCTATTGAGCGTAGAGAATGCGTGAGAATCGTTACCTTTCGTACACGTTAACCAGTCAATTTTGGGAAATCGTTATATATGCGCCTCGTTAGAATAATGGCTTTTACCGTATCCTATTAATCACCGTTAATTTGATCATTGGAGTATAAGCCGCACCCCCCCCCCCCCTTTTTGGGTAAAATTTGAGTGTTCAAAGTGTGGCTTATACTCCGGAAAAAGCAGGGAGTAGTAAACTACTGGTATTTTACTACTCACTGCTTCTGATTCTCTTCTGATCCCCTCCAGTCGAGCACATAGCACTGTACAACTTTGAGAAGAGCCGTCCCGATGAGCTGACCCTTGAAATCGGTAACCTGGTCTACGTAGTGGAGTCGGACGGCCTGGGATGGATGCGTGGCACGACAAGCGGCCATACCGGCTGGTTTCCAGCGTCCTACGTTCAAGACTTCAAGACAGCGACCAGCAATGCTGACCTGGATTTCTCCGAGGTCAGTTATGACAGTGCACACGTCACTATTGTTTCCATGGCCGTGCATATCCTGTGACTCCTGTGCTTCCCATGATCAAGAGTAGTGGTGTGCACGGGTAGTCGGGTACCCGTGCTACCCGTGAGGACCTCAGGTAGTCGGGTACCGAATAGTACCCGAAAACCCGAGGTCGCAGATGACATCATGTACAGTGCACGTGTACAAATAATTCACGCATGTCTACCCAATGCGCAAGGGAAGGGGCCGGTGTGCATTGTGGTCTTACCATGGAAACATTACCCGATCGGGTACCCGTGGTACCCGTGGAAAAGTACCCGGACCCGATACCCGAAGAAAATGCTACCCGACTCAGCCCTAATCAAGAGTACGTAAAACCAAGAGTGCGAAGCTCGAATGGCCGCACATCTGCACCATGCAATCTGCACCAAATACATGTATGCTGTAGTCTAGGAGTTTGGCCGTGCCACACACCCATGGAGAAAAGTCACAAACTGCACACTCTGTGTTTCATGTACTCTTGCTGCTGGTGATGATCATGTATCCGTTTGTCCTGCAGTGTATGTCGTGATACTCATGCTCTTTGTCTCTCTGTCTCTGTCTGTCTCTCTGTCTCTGCCTCTCTCTGTCTGTCTGTCTCTTTCTCCCTCTCTCTCTCTCCCTCCCTCCCTCCCTCCCTCTCCCTCTCTCTCCCTTTCCCTCTCTCTCTCTCTCCTCCCTCTCTCTCTCTCTCTCTCTCTCTCTCTCTCTCTTTACCTTCTTGTTTTATGTTTTTATGGTTAGGACTTCGATTCAGATGAGTCGGATGAGACCTCGGGTACGAATGATGACGATGAGGAGGAGGCCGGCGAAACCAGTAGTGCTTGCACTAATGCTACCGAGGATCAAAGTGACTCGGAAATCAGCGAGGACATGTATTCAGAGATACCAGCATTGCTCCGCAAGACACGTAGCCAGGGCGTAGAAAAGCGGGAGAAGTCTCCGACGGAAGAAGACGGCGATGATGGTGACGAAGAAGATGATGACAATGAGGAGAGCGGAATTGGTAAGGTTTCCGCCTCGATCTACAATGTAGTATTTCTGTTGAAGCCAATATCAGTGCTAGACTTCTTTTCCAATGAGGCTTGTATTCCAATGAGGCTTGTACTGTATTCAAACCAGCCACGTCCGTTTATGTCAACACTAAAACCAGGCGTATGTGCCGACGAGCCATCTTGAAAAGCAAGTTTGTATTCAAAACTGGTTTCCATGCAAGACGAGCTTTTATACAAGACATTATGGCAGACATTATGGCTCTTAAAATCAACATTAAGGATATGTGAACTCATGGAAATGCAATTTGTTTCACTGTACCTCCGATACAGAGTGCCGTGCGCTCTTCACCTACGAGGCGCAAAAAGAGTCTGAGCTCTCTTTGAAGGAAGGCTGGACTGTGTGGGTAGTGGAGGCCCCCGAAACCGGCTGGTGGCGTGGCTTCATCGACGACGAAGTCGGCTGGTTTCCGTCAACCTACGTGGAGGTGAGAACAGAACAGTTTTTGTAAAAGAGTGTTTCTTGTGTCCTGTTCAAACTACTACTACACTCAGACTATACCGTTGATCCGCCCCCGCTCTAATTCCCGCCCCCGCTCTAATTCCTGCCCCCGCTCTAATTCCCGCCCCCTGTTGAATTTCTGCCTGTGAAGCGAAGTCGTATACTGTACAACGAAATACGATGTTGAACCGATGCATGCACTGCTGTGCACAATACGTGCGAGTGCAGGATGAAGATGTGCACAATCCAGCATTCCAGGTGTGATATTCTGCTTTGTTGTACGTCGCACTACACTTGAACGACTTGATCTAATTCCCGCCCCCTGCCGAAAAGCCGGCTGGGAAGCGACACGGCGTGGGGGGGGGGGGATCAACGGTACTTTACGGTATGTCTGATATCCGGACCTCCACGTTACAGCCACCTCGGTCTACCGGGCACCCTGTGGGGGAGTTTGAGGGGAAATATTTCTACTGATTTGCTAGTTTGAGGGGAAATATTACTACTCGTTTGCCTATACATACCCGTATTATCTGTAATATAAACACGGTCCTTTATTTTTCAATGTACCTCCGCCCCGTGCTATTAATGGAGACGTTCCTTTATTGGAGACTGTTCCATTATTATTTCAACCTCATTTCAGAGGCATGTTGCCATGCCAAATTCATGTCAGACACACACACATTTCAGGGTTTTTTCGCCGGTACAGATAATGAATTTACACAGTGTGCTTATAATGGAGACTGAGCACTTTATTTTTTGAATGCCGCCCCAAGGTGTTCTATTATTGGAGACGTGCTATTATTGGAGACTGTGCTTATATTAGAGATAATACGGTATGTATTTGTGGAAAGAGGGACGATATGCTAGATCAGATCTCTGGCCCTTCCGCGTCAAAACATGATTCAGAGTTTTGGACATTTCCAAGTTATGGGCACCAGCTGGTCCCTGACTGGCTGGATAAGAGAGATATAAGTGCATGTGCAATGTTCTGCTTTCCAGTGGCTTGCCATTCTGGAACTCATCAATGCAATCCGATCGCACGAGCGCGAGTTGCGCTACGCACCATCAGGACACCCCAGTGTCCGCAGGTCTAGGGCTGCACAGCGCCCGGCGTGGCATTCACTCGATTGATCGGATTTCATTGAGCAGCACCGTGATCTGTGGTAATACATGTTAACTATCAATTGGATACGCTTCTAATTTGTCCTTAATTTTGTCTGTCTTTGCATATGTTTTCTTGCTTGACGTGTTTATGTGTATACACAGCCGGTCATTCAGCATGAAGATGATACGTGTGAAAGCGGCATGACGGTACCTGCTGCCGTCTCCGCTTGTACGGTGATCAACAAGCATGTTAGTGAGATCACCGTCTTCACGGAAGAAATGGAAGCTGAAGAGAACACGACCGCCGTGTTGGGCAAGAACTCGGTGGAGAGCGTTGCCTACTTGGATATCAGCGAGGTGAACAAAGTGGCTGCCGGCTCAGCGTTGGCACCCCACGCTCACTGCTCGCCTTCCCAGTCGCATCACGACTCCATCGTCGCCGACTCTGGCGAAGATGTGTATGGCAACCTTGAGAGCGACACCGACGATCGCTTGAGCGTCACTTCCGGCGAGCAGTATGGCCAGCTTGGAGAAAACCAGTCCATGGCGCATGCCATACTGAAGCAAGTGCTAGGAGAATCACTACCCAAGGAGCTGAAGAGTGATACCGCCGGTCGTCTTTCCAATACCGAGGACAATGAGCCCGTCGAGTACTTGGACGTCAGTTCCCTAAACTGCTCCGCCGTGCCGAGAGCGGGCAAACCGCCTCCCAGAACGCCCATGGCTTCGAGCATCGTTAGTAGCACCGTCTCTAGCGACAATGATAATGACGATATGTACATGGACGTCAGCTGCCAGCGGCCAACACTAGACTACGCCCCAGACAGCGGAGCAAGCGAGCAGGCTGAGTATCTAGACGTGTGCGCACTGGACCGCGCTGAGATCCTGCAGCAACGCCGCGCATCCACGATGACATCGCTGTCCACGTCGTCGCTGTCTAGTATGATTGAGTCGCTACCGAACCAGCCGCACAGTTGCAGTACGGCTGATCCAGACACGAATAGTGCGCCAGGTATGTATCGTAATGTATTGTAAAAGCAGACATTTTCGAGGGTGTACTATTTTCGATACTGTAGAACGGGTAATTTTAGCGACGTAAAAACCCTAGCGAATTTAGCGATCGACTCATTTTCGCTAAAGTTTCAAGTCGCTAATCCGTTGAGACATTAGCAGTGCACTGGTGATCCGTGAGTAAAATCGCTGCTAATCGCAAAAGTAAAACGTCGCTAACCGGTTGACAATGGGAAAACGCTAAAAATAATAGTCGCTAAAATTACCCGTTCTACAGTATTGTCGATGTTCCGATTCCATCACTGTATTTATATAATTATGTGTATGGCCAGCCGCATTCGTACCACTTCAGGGTGTCAAGGGCCATGCAAGTTGAGGACGAGAAGTGTGCACTTTTGGGTCGGATTTCAGTTGGCACGACTGTACATAGAACATAGACACACAGTAGAGGACGGTCGGTCCGGGGGCCCACTGCGTGACCCAGTCTTCTCCAGTCCGCCGCGAAGAGGGCACACTGCGGCATGCAGAAGCCATCCATTCTAGACTCTAGTAAATGGCAATTACGCACATATACACACACACACGCACATACACACATTCACACACACACACACACACACACACACACACACACAGCTTTTGTGATATTTAGTCGATGTGTTTCCCCGGTGTAGATTCACACCGTGATAAGATATCGATATGTTCTATGCAGTTCTGAACGAGCAGGGGGGGATCCCTATACCTCCCACAACGACTTGTGTACTGTGTTCATTTTTAAGAAAACCCCTGTTCGCCATGTCACAGCTCAGATACTGTCTGGTTTTGATGATTGCAATCTCACCAGTGACCCTAGACGAATGCAGAATGGCTAGCAATTCAGAACAGATGCTGACATCCACTTTATTGGGTGGGGAGGAGGGGGAATTTTTCATTTATTCGCGGGGAAGAGAGTTTTTGTTTTCGGGGTTCTTCACTTTGGTGTAACGTTAGTTCTCATTTCGCAGCTGTGGTGGATTTCCTGATTTGTTCTGTATTTTGCTGCGTGTTGTGTTTGCGCGAAGGTGAGAGGAAACTGTCTGGTACTAAGAACCCCAAGGAGAAATCCAAGGACAAGGAGAGAGCGCGGCGTGAGGCAAGAGAGGAGAAGGAGAAAGAACGCCTGCGACGGGAAGCCGAGGTGAAAGAAGACCGAGAACGTGTGAAAGCGAAAAAGGAGGAGAAGATAAAGGAAGCCAAAGAGAAAGAACGTGTGCGTAAGGAAGATCGAAAACGCAAGAAAGATGAGAAAAAGACGAGTGACGGCGCCATGCAATTCTTTAAGAAGGGCACTCGCCGCATAGTCAACGAGTCAGTGTTAGGTAAGCGCGCGCGTATGTGTGTGTGTGTGTGTGTGTGTGTGTGTGTGTGTGTGTGTGTGTGTGTGTGTGTGTGTGTGTGTCCCATATGGTGCAGTGGTATGTGCAGTCGATTTCCAATCGAGAGGTTGCGGGTTCAATTCCCGACGATTATGGTCGCACACGTCTTTCTTCTGTTTCTCGGTCTCTTCCTGACTTTTCTTTCATTCTCCTGGGTGGTTACCAACAGCCAGTGTATGCCGGAGTATGTGGTGTGGTGTGTGTGTAGAAAAAAAAGAAAAAAGAAAAAATGGAAAAATGAAAAATAGGGATTCACTGGCCAGAAAAAGTCACTTCAATCAGCTGTGTGGTGGATACCAGGCTAAAAATAGTGGCGATCAATTCATCAGCCTTGCAAGCTGTTGAATGGTGTTATCCCAGCACAAGTTGCTATGTCTAACATAGCTGTTCGCTATCATCGCTTCCGCGATGGGCAGGTCTGAGGTGTGTGTGTGTGTGTGTGTGTGTGTGTGTGTGTGTGTGTGTGTGTGTGTGTGTGTGTGTGTGTGTGTGTGTGTGTGTGTGTGTGTGTGTGTGTGTGTGTGTGTGTGTGTGTGTGTGTGTGTGTGTGTGTGTGTGTGTGTGTGTGTGTGTGTGTGTGTGTGTGTGTGTGTGTGTGTGTGTGTGTGTGTGTGTGTGTGTGTGTGTGTGTGTGTGTGTGTGTGTGTGTGTGTGTGTGTGTGTGTGTGTGTGTGTGTGTGTGTGTGTGTGTGTGTGTGTGTGTGTGTGTGTGTGTGTGTGTGTGTGTGTGTGTGTGTGTGTGTGTGTGTGTGTGTGTGTGTGTGTGTGTGTGTGTGTGTGTGTGTGTGTGTGTGTGTGTGTGTGTGTGTGTGTGTGTGTGTGTGTGTGTGTGTGTGTGTGTGTGTGTGTGTGTGTGTGTGTGTGTGTGTGTGTGTGTGTGTGTGTGTGTGTGTGTGTGTGTGTGTGTGTGTGTGTGTGTGTGTGTGTGTGTGTGTGTGTGTGTGTGTGTGTGTGTGTGTGTGTGTGTGTGTGTGTGTGTGTGTGTGTGTGTGTGTGTGTGTGTGTGTGTGTGTGTGTGTGTGTGTGTGTGTGTGTGTGTGTGTGTGTGTGTGTGTGTGTGTGTGTGTGTGTGTGTGTGTGTGTGTGTGTGTGTGTGTGTGTGTGTGTGTGTGTGTGTGTGTGTGTGTGTGTGTGTGTGTGTGTGTGTGTGTGTGTGTGTGTGTGTGTGTGTGTGTGTGTGTGTGTGTGTGTGTGTGTGTGTGTGTGTGTGTGTGTGTGTGTGTGTGTGTGTGTGTGTGTGTGTGTGTACTGGGAAGGGCCAAGAGTACATGCAGTGACTACTAGTATGTCGTTGGAAGCCTGCTGTATGGGTGTCTGTGCGGAGACAGGGTGTGCTTAACTGTAGAGTGAAACCTGTCCAGGGCGACCGCTCTAGTCTAGGGACCCTAGAAATGTGGGCCCCTTGTGCAGGTGGTCTCCTTATCCAGGGTCATTTGACTGGAAATAGCATCCCTTGGTCCTGGTCATAGTGGTCTTTTTGGACAGGTGGTCGCCATATCAGAGTGGTTGCCATATCAGAGTGGTTGCCAAACCAGAGTGGTTGCCAAACCAGAGTGGTTGCCATATCAGAGTGGTTGCCTTGGCAGGTTTCACTGCACTTATCATTGCTTGAGAACGGTTTTATTCACAACACCAATTGGGCCAATCGCGTGAAACCATGAAGTAAGAGTCAAGGCAAAAAGACAACCCAAATTCGGAAATAAATTGCTGAGAGAGTGTGAGAGACAGAGAGAAAGAGAGAGAGAGAGAGAGAGAGAGAGAGAGAGAGAGACAGAGAGAGAGAGAGAGAGAGAGAGAGAGAGAGAGAGAGAGAGAGAGAGAGAGAGAGAGAGAGAGAAAGAGAGAGATACCAGCAAGGCAACCAAACACGCTTTTTCTTTGTCACGGAATTCACTGCGTACGACTTTGTTCTAAGGGAAGTCGACTGTATCAACTGGTCATGGGCTTAGTAGGAATGTTTTATTTTGCCGCCAGTTCCACTGTTTTTGCTGCTGTGCAGCGCATGAAGTACTGGGACACACACATGTGAGGTGCAGCGCAATACAATTATTATACTAAGCAGTCGGCGTGATTTTTGTGGTTTGTTTTCCGGTTTTCACATGTAGGTACGGTGAGCAATCACAGTGCAGTGCCGGATCTTGGTGACATCGGAGGTAAGGACACGCACACACACACACACACACACACTGTACTGTACTGTACTGTATTGACGGCTACCCTAACGGTTTACGCCGCCCTCCACCCAAGCATGGGTATGATGAGGGGCAGTGGAAACAAAAACAAAAAAACAGCAAGCAGAGAGAGATAGCAGGAGAAAGACAGCGATAGTAGTATATCTGGTGTGCGACGTATAGAAAAGAGAGATGACAAGAGATACGCACAAAAAGGAAACAATAATTATTTGAACCAGTATTATTGCAGTTCCGAAATAATCAACCAGGTGATGGAGGGTGAGCACCCGAAGTCCCACCTGGACTCCACTGGAAGAACATTCCACGCAGGGATATCAGCGATAGGCCAAGCGTTGAAAAACAGCCATGAGGACACATCGTCTAGAAGTCCACCGCACTCGAACTGAAATTGCAGGATCAAACAATTTCCCACTCGTCGTCAGGCAGCGTAACTCTTCTCCCTGCATCACCATCCATCTCCAGCAACCGTCTCCACTCACAGCTCATGCCTCTGCCACCACTGTGCTCCGAGCTTCGCAGTTTGAAACCATTCGGGGGTCAGCTACACCACCGCGAATGGAGAGACGAGGACGACAACACACACACACACACACACACACACACACACACACACACACACACACACACACCTTGACCTTGACCTTGATCTTGCCCATTGCGTACGCAATGATAGCGAATGTCGGAAAGTTCAAGTGAGGACACGAGCGCAGAACTTGGCATGTCACACACACACACACACACACACACACACACACACACACACGCACTACTACTACTACTACTACTACTACTACTACTACTACTACTACTACTACTACTACTACTACTACTACTACTACTACTACTACTACTACTACTACTACAGTCAGACCTCGCTTATCCCGTCCTCTTTTATCCGGATCCCTCACCATCCGGAAGAAAATCGTTTGTTACCGATTTACAGCATATGGCATGCATACATACAGAATGTGTTTTCGATTATCCGGTTCCCTCGCCTATCCGGATTTTTGTGGAAAACGGATGTGTGCGGTTAAGCAAGGTCTGACTGTACTGCTATTGACAGCTGCCAGAATTGGCCACGCCGCTCCCAGATGGGAGGTACTGTCAGAGAGGTTAGGGGGAGGAAGGCAATGCTCCAAATGGCGATCCAGATCTTGCCGCCTCCGGAACCGTCGGTTGTGGCAAACTTGGCAGTGAAACTTGAATTGCTGGCGTTCAGCCATAGTAGGGCGCTTTGGACAGGTTCCACAACGGTGACGCTTGAGACCCGCAGCCGATTTAAACCAACGCTGACAGGTTGTGCAAGTTACACCCGGAACAACAAGAGGGGCAGGGGCCGGCGGCTGGTCGTCATCGCCTACCCGACACTTATGCACCGCAAAGCCTCCTCTGCTACGTAGCCATCGGTTGCATGTTGGACACTGTACTGACCCAGGCTGCTCCGATACCGGGAGCTGACGGATTGTTGAACACTTGTGCCGGGCCATGTCGGAACTACGGCGGAACAGACGGTTGCAGGTTGGGCACTCAATGCTCTTCGGGGCAGGTTCCTTGTCCTCACCTGCTGCTGTCACCACTCTCCACGATCGCTTGCCAACTCAAACCAGTTACGCACTCCAGCCACGGATAAGTCCGTGTGGATGGTGTCCTTCCAGCGACGACGAGGTCCACAGAATGGCCAAGACTGAGGGAGACAGGCAAACAGCAACTGCTTTGGTACTCTGGTGTCATCAAGATGAGCCAGGTGCCCAAGCCACTCCAACCGTCTCTGCTGCACCATGCGTGATAATGGTGTGGGATCACCCCACTGTGCTCGCAGTTCCTGTGAGGAGATGCGCTGTTCCCACTGTCGGCCGCGCGATACGCCAAGGATGGAGCGAATGTTGGCATGGTGAAACCGGTCCATTCTATCTAAATCTGCCTTCAACGGCATCCAGCATTCTGAACCATACAGAACCGTTGACAGGACGCAAACGACATACAGGTGGCGCCTGGTAGGGAGGTTAAGGCTCCGGTCATGTAGGATGTGCCGAAGACCACCAAAGACACACACACACACACACACACACACACATGTACACGCACACGCACGCACACACTGTTGAAACATTGCAAACATTATGCGAGCAATGTGTCGGACCGCGCTGAATCATGGGGTCGAAGAGGCCCTTTCCCGATGTTCTGATGTCAGTGATGATGACCGAGTGATACTGATGTCCAGCCATAGATCCAGAGCCAGCAGCCACATCTACTACCACTGTGCCAGACCAGTGTGAAGGTGGACTGGCTGCTGTGTCTCCTGGTAGCACGTGTAGCGGGAAAGATCAGATTGCCGATCTAACACCCAGTTGCACGCTGGGTTCAGGCTATCCAGGGGTTGGCGAGTGCAGGCTTTGAGCCATGGCGACTGCACGTCAGTCAGCATCATTATGTTTACTTTATTATTCACTGGGTATATAGTGTCAAGAGTCCATAACCGCAAGAGTGTGCAACTGGGGTCTGGCTGCTGTAGGCCCACTGCGCGGCGGAATTCCAACATAACGTCATGCCGCTGAGGCACAGAGGACAAAACTCCGCATTCCGCGGTGCTTGGAATCAGGGAGTAGTACGAGGGCAACGAACGTGTACGTCATTTTTGACATAATGAATTCCGCCGCGCGTATCCCCATGTACAGAGTTGCACACTCTTGGGGTTATGGACTCTTGATAGTATGGAAAAGAGTAACTCCCGTCGAATAAATACCACTAGTCCCTTGATGTTGGTCATAACTCCTAAAGAGGTTTGACTGTAACACATCACGGGCAGCTCAGTCTTGGCTCATTTGAACAACATGGCAGAATCACTACACTCTCCTCTCGCTCAGTCTTGGCTCATTTGAACAACATGGCAGAATCACTACACTCTCCTCTCGCTCAGTCTTGGCTCATTTGAACAACATGGCAGAATCACTACACTCTCCTCTGAGCCACTCTATCCACAATACTCGTACTTGTACACCATTCAAGGATGGAATACACGTGTCCCCAAGATCACTCCAAGACATGCCAAGCTGGGACCGAACGCAGACCGAATGCAACAGTGTCAGAAAATCTGCTCCAGTGGCACGGTCAGTCTCTTGCCACTATGTTGAAGAGAGTGAGCATGCTCACTGCAATCTTGAAGAGAGTGAGCATGCTCACTGCAATCCAGCTGCAGCATAACACGTCCAACTCAAATTTCAGCCGCGTTCTGCATTCGTGTTTCGAAATTTTGTCTCCATAGGCTCCTAGACTCCCCACATATTGCTCGCGCATTGTACCATTGTATTCTTGCTATAAAACAGAGAGGTTCCAGGCTGTCCAAGAGAGTGCTCAATACCGAGTGGTAGAGCTGGTTCACAATAGGAGGACAGAGAAAGTGTTCCAATACTGATCCAGATTTCTCATTACTGTTTTCTGATGATCGCTTAGTGTGTGAAACTCGGAGTAAAAACACTTTCTCTGTCCTCCTATTGTTTTATTCTTGCTATATCTGTACACTGTCACTCGGTGTTGCTAATTCAGGCTTGAGATTACTGTAGGAATTTGACTAATTTTTGCAGCTACGCAGCTACTCAAAATGGCTCACCAGCCGCCCCGAAGTGCTTTCCAAACTGTTCTCTCTCTCTCTCTCTCTCTCTCTCTCTCTCTCTCTCTCTCTCTCTCGCTGTTTCTGTGCTTCTCTTCATTCTGTGTGTAGATCGGGAGGAGGGGATGCGTGCCCGCACGCGCTCTCAGCCAGTCAATCCTCAATCTCTTCTTGATAGGTCACCGCGGACCATCAAAACGAAATTCTTGTGGAAGTTTACCAAACGAACGGAAAGCGAAATGGACGCATCAGTCGATGGTGACAGCAGAAGTAAGCACAGTGGTGGGAGGTTTTTGTTTTTGATTTTACTCCAGACAGCAATTTCTTTCTTTCTTGCCGTGGTTAGCCATCGCCCCTCTCTTTCTCGCACTTTGTGTGCCAATGGCACGTATTCACTGAAGGCGCACGTGACTAGCGCTGCGGGGAAACAAGTAGGTTTTCTCATTTGTGTACATAGTAAATTCGCAATTTACTCTTGACTTGTTGAGCCGTCTCGAACGTTGTATTCCGCAAATTCCACTTCGTTGGGTCACTACTATTGTATACCTTGAAGACCAGTAGTCTATATCGAAAGAAACTCACAAGTTCCAGCGATTAGAGAAACTTCTTTTCCACGCATTTGAATGCATTTGTATGCGGGATCGAACAAGTGTCCCCCCCCCCCCCCCCCCCCAGCGTGGCTCACGTGCGCCCATACCATGTATGCAGCGTGGGCGTCCGCCATTTTAGATGAATACGTGCCATTGGTCATGGACCACGAAGTGAGTATAATAAATAAAATAATATACTCTGCCGCAGGCTCCTCTTTGCGGGTTGAGCCCTTAGCCACGGCGACTCTGCTCTGGACTATTGCTCACTATGCTATTATTGTGTTAGTGGAGGGGCGTTTGCGACTTCCCCTAAACTTGCTGATGGTGTGATAACAGTTGCTGCATTCCATTCTCCATGTATGAGCTTGTTTGGACTGAATTCTTTTTAGAAGGGTTGTGATCGTGCTTTAGACAGTTCTAATCAGAGGGTTTTGTAGACCAATTCCCACTCAGCAACTCAGTCGTCGGTGGGAATGCTGATCAACAGATTGTCTTTGATCCCGTCCGATTTGAGTGTTGACGAAACTGTTTGCATTGCGTGTGATGGCTGCCGCTTGTAGGGCTTGAACGGAGTGCACTTGCCGGGCCTGAACGGGGTGCATTGTCTGTAGGCAGTCAGCGGGATGCAGTCTCTTCGAGTTTAAGGAATATTTCTCATCATGACAAGGTAAGGGGATATGTCTCCACTGCACGCACTCTCACGTCTTCTCGCACTATTCAGCCAAGAAAATTGACACGGGGGGGGGGGGGATCTTAGGATTGAGTGTGAGCTGTGTGAATTTCAATGTCACTAGCCTGAGCCTATATGTCAGTCACGGAGCTGCACAACTCCCCAGGTGCAAGCCTACCAGTGTAAACATTGCATGCATTTTATTTTTGGATACGTTGCCTGAAGTAGGAAAAAAGCTGGAGTTGAAATCCTGAATCCACATGCTGCAATTCGCTAAGCAATATGCATGTCATGTTTTGCAAATATGGTCACGAACGAATTTCATATTTGGTCTAATCAGGCTTGGTGGTGGCCTGGCACTAGCGAAACTTCCTCAGCTGGTTGGGTTTCTACACGCAATTGTATAGCCGGTGGTAGCGCGGATATGTGAACTTTGCGAGTGACTGTATAGATGTATAGACGTGTGACATTTTCTTATGTTGATCTGATCTTGTTTCAGAACCGCATCGTTCTCTCATCTGGAGGAACAATTCGACGCAAGAACTTTTCAAAGGAAAGCCGGAAGAAGATGGAGCGCCAGTTGAGTGAAAGCATTGTACGCGTGAAGAAAGTCAGTAGCAAGGCCTCCATACCGATTATACCGTGCGAGCCTCCTCCGCCACCTCCAAAGAATCGTGTCCAGGGACATCATAATCATCAGCGTGCTGAAGACAAGGCTGTGGAGCTGTACGAGACAAACAGTGAGATTCGCTCCAAGGTCCTGAACGCTGCCGCTAAGAACAAGGACATGAAAGCGCCGCCGGTGGTCCCGGAAAGAGTGGTCCGCGGCAATCGGCCTCCTGGTGGCGGCGATGGCAGCGGTGGCGGTGGCCTGAAGAAGCGCACCAACAACTCAAGTAGCTTCATGTCCAACGTGACAGTCAAGCGACAAGCCCGCACTCCAGAGTCAAAGTCGGATGCCGCCGGCAAGAAGAAAACGCAGCGGTCCGAACACAAGTCTTTCTTTGCTAAATTCAAGGGAGCGTCCGTCGAGGTTGTTACGCCGCGCCCTGTCATTTCTGATCCTCACCTCCTGGCGACAACCAATACGTTCACTCGTCTAGCTACCATGCCAAAACGTGCTATCGCGGATCGCCAGCGAAGCTGCTCGTTTTCAGCGCCGATTAACATGAACGTTGTTTCTAAGGCGCGTTTCCGCTCGTCCTCTCTGACTACCGACCAGATAGAAGCAAATAAAATATTTGATCGTGATCGTTCGACGCGTCCTCCCTCGCAGCTCTCTGTCACTTCGGAGGATCCTGTTCAGCGCTCTTCTTCGTTCAACAGCGGTATGCGACCAAAGTTACCGTTGCCAATGCGTCCGCGTGGCTCTTCGTCTTCTAGTGGCCCTGTGTTGCCAGCAAGGCAGCCACCGCCGTTGCCAGGCGGTAGTCCTGTCAGTGTTGGTTCGCTGACTACTGGCAAGAGGGGAGTGCAGAGTCTGAGGATGCGATCCGTGTCAATGGACTGTCCCACACACTCACCTCCTACACCGGAATCGGCATCGGGTAGCAGCAGTGTGTCGTCCGGTAGTGCAGCGTTTTTAAACGAACACAGACAAGCAGCGCCTCTACCATTGGAGTCGGTCTCTAACGCTATGTCCCCACTTTCGGAAAAGTCCGCGCCAAACTCTGCCTGCAGCTCTGACGCGCGTCCGGGATCACAAGAGACAGGTGATGTGCCAGCGGAATCACTAGCAGATGGTGGTGTAGCCGTGGCGTCGGCAATAACAGCGGAAGTACGGACGGCCATCATACCACCTAGTGCTGCTGCGAGTGCCAGGAACAGCTGCGAAGATGTCTCTTGTCAGTCTATGCCTGCAGCGCATGTGACTCCTGGATTACCGCAATCATCGGCGAGTGGGCCCAACTCGAATGCCTACAACGATGACCTGAGTGATAGTTCGATGCCGTCGTCTCCGCCTGCCTCCACCATGTCACCAACGGCGCGTAGGAAACGCAAGTTGTCGTCGCGGGTGCGGGCAGCGTCAGAGCGGTTCGAGTCGACTCACTCGGAATCCGAGCGCTCTCAGTCGTCGCATTCGCTGACCATCACTCGCCACAGCTCGATGTCCACGGGCATCAAGCAGTCACCGGCCGCGAGTCCCTTGAGCGACGTTCAGCGCGCTGCATCCTTCTCCAAACCTACTACAGGCGTCACTACTACTAAAGAAGTCAAGAAGCTGCATGGTAATACGTCTAAACTAATCCAAAACTTTCAGAGCCTCTCGGGCACCTAGAAAGCACCAGCAGGTAAAGGCTACTTGTGTAGAGATTACTGCACGATGATGCAGGTCATGTCACGTGTCCGCCTAGCTCCCAATTTTGAGTTCAACTTTTTTTTTAAATTCCACTGTTTCAACCATGTACATGTAGTATGTGTCATCTGTCTGATTTATAAACAATCCATCGACTTACCTTCAATAACTTAATTTCCACGCAGCCCATTGTAATGTCTATGTGTTTAGGTGTGTTTGTACATAACAATTGTATCCGCTATCAGCTATAGCTGATCCAGCCAACGCATGCGCTACATGCATACCAGGTGTGTACTCGCTTACACGTTGGCATTCTTACGCCAATGGTTTCCCTTGCCCTCTGCTCTTTTTTGTGCCGTTGAAACAGCTTCGTTTGTTCCATCAGTTTTCTAGCGATCTAGCGCCGAAGCAAATACTCTCTGTGCTTTCCGCTACGATGCGCAGTCGTCTTGTTCTGCTGCTATCTGTCTTCTTCTTCACGTTGGCGCTCTCACTTCCTGTCGCAGACACTTGTACGCCGCGTCCTCTTAATGCCCCCGTCCCTGTCCAGCACGCTCTTTATCTACACGCCGCTTGCAGCGAGTGCAGCACCTCTCTATTTGGTTTTTTTCTTTTCGCCAGGGTACCGGAGTACCACTCGCGCCCAACTAAGACAGTGTACATTTATTTCCCCTTAGTCTTATTCTAAACTTCTACACAAATCTCTTGCAAGCGTCAAGTTTCACTGGTGTATAAGTATGGTGAGTGACCTTTGCCTGGTACTCCCTGTTGGGCTCCGGTTCAGATACTTGTAAATAACTTTTCTTTCTCTCCTCTCCTCTAGATTTTCTTTTCTTCATCTTGTTCATGTTGAAGGAGTTCAGCAATTTGCTCGGAGTAATATTTGACCTCTCCTGGTGCTGGTGTGCGGTACTGTGCTGCAACTTCTCAAACCAGTCAACCCTGCGACTGATAATTGCGGAGCTGCATGCCTGTACGATTGATAAGTGTGGAAGTGCGCGCCATGCCTACACTTTCCCTAGCCATGCATGCAATGCTACAATGACAAAGTATCAACATGAGGGTGGAACTGAAAACCGTGACCCCCAGTAGGCAAACGGGGATAAGATGCAGAACATGATTGGTGCCATCAGGGTATCTGTCCTGGGATCCAACTCCCCCCCCCCCCCCCACACACACACACACAAGCACCTACCCCCACCCCCAACCCCACACACAGAGCAGAGCGTACAGTATCACAGTCGAGCGGAGTCCAGTTTGCATCAACTCAGTACGACCAGAGAAGAAAAGAACATAGCAAATCCACAACAGCGCAAATACAATGCAAGTGGTTATAATAAAGCGCGAGTATTTTGGGATACGGTGATGGGTGTGGAAAAGAGAGCCATTGGAATGTTTCTAAACAAAAGACAAAATGACAGTAGACGAGTAAAGGAGTGGGAACTTAACCCAAGAAGTTCATGGCAACGAGATGGAGGACACAGTGAGCGAATACGAAGTCACCGAAAGCGCGCTGTGCGGAGATACCCCGGAACTGCTGCTTGTTGGCGGGGTTGGACTGGACGCGAAGACATACTGTGCACACCAAGGCACATACACCAAGACACATACACACACACATACAAACACACATACACACACGCACGCACACACACACACACACACACACACACAAAGAGGTACACGCAGAAACGGGTAAGAAGGCATGTTAGATGTCATAGTGTAAGATGTACATCGCTACACAGACATGAAGAGCTGGAATGCAAACCTTGATCAATTCATTTCATCACCTTTCGGATAATGGCCAAAAAAGGATTCATTATAATTATGTGAAGTTTGTATCTAAATCCAAATTTGGGTCCCAGTTTTGAAATGGTATTTTGAATGTGAAATTTGGCTCCTAGACCTTTTGATCACGCTCAGCTGAAAACCTGATTTTCTCAGAGTTTATCTGGCTATGCATCTCAGCTCTTCACACTTGCATGGCTGGAGTGTCGTGTCATGCCTCACATCATATCATCACTTGCATGGCTAGAGTGTTGTGTCAGGCCTCACATCATATCATTCGTGAATGAACGCCTAGGAAAGGGCAGGCAATGACTTTGGAAGTGGAAACGAATCTACTTGGTTCCAAATAAAAGGTACTTCTGGGATTCACAGATGCCAAACCAGGCCACTAACAGTAAGCAGCAGCAGCAGCAACAGCAGCATAGCCAGAGTGTAATGCATACACTGTGACCACCTGTGCACAGCCTGGCGGTGGGATAGCATAGTGCTGGACTCCTCTTGTCTGACATGTTTACCATGGTAACCAGCAGGACTGTGCTCACAAGCCACTGTACGCACTATGTATCATCAAGAGTACAGGTCTACCCCCTCGTTAGTAGACAAGCCAGGCGAGGGGGGGGGGGGGTCACAATTGCTGTCTTTTATGGAGTATTAGAGAGGTTCTGCAATACGTAAAGTTGAGCAACTTTACGTTTATAGTGGGCGGGAAAAATCGGTGAATTTGCGAGTTTGCATTCCACTTACGGAAAGTTGTCTACGTAGAGTACGTAGATAGGGCTCTGATAACGTAGGTGCTCCGTAAGTGGATTGGGGTACAAATTTATGACTCTTTCCCCAGGTCGATCCGGTCGTACACTGCCGCGTTCGGAATTGCCAAGGGCAGCTACGTTATTTGAAAACTTCGTATGAAGGAACACAGATCCGCATGCAGTTTACGTAAGACTTTCCGTAGATCGACTACGTTTTTTACCAACGTAATTGCGTTATGCGGAACCTCTCTATGATCTACCCTCCTGACTCGCATGTATGCATTTGAGGCGTCTGGGGATTTTGGACCGTTGTCTACTAATAAGAGTTGTCTTGTAACCGATACCGTACTACAAATGACCTGTACATGTACATGTACATGTACATGGAACCCAGAGTGTGCAGGTCTGATGGGTTGCTGTCACGGCGAAACTCCGGGATTACATCATTTTAGTGATATAGTGCGTAAGTAAAAAGTAAAGTAAAGTTTGCACGTCCGCGTTACCACCGGCTATACAATTGCGTTGAGAAACACAACCAGCTTCACTTAGGAAGTTTCGCATGTGCCAGGCCACCACCATGCCTGTGCTACCAGGGTGGCAGATGCAGCGCCTAACGGCGAGGGTGAGGTGGTAAGTCTCACAACCAATGCCCGACAAGGGGGCTAACCTCGTTAGCTGCATCCATGTTACCCTCACTCCGAGTAGTGAGTACCCAGTTGCGTACAAGCGGGATTCAAGCAGGTATCTTTCTGCTCAACAGCAGCTCAGTTGTACGCACTACCCAACTTCCCGCCTCACATCTACACCAAATATGACACCAGATACGACGGAATCCCGTAATTTCGCCGTGCCACACACCGATGCAGAAAAAAGTCACAAGCTGTACACTCCGGGTTTCATGTACTCCTGGTATCATCGAGAGTCCATAACCAAGAGTAGGCAACTGTCATCTCTTGTCTATGGGCCAGATGCACGGCGCGCTGACTTCATGACATCATGCAGCTATATGTACGTACATCGTGTGGACTTTGGTACACGAGTGCAGGGCGAGATGCTGGACAGCTATGGAGTGGAGGCAACATGCCGTGCTGCTCACAGTCCCTGACCCATGACTACAGATGCATACTCTTGTTGGCATCAGTTGCAGGTGAATGAAATGTCTGATAAGCTGAAAAGAATTTCCACATTAAACATGAAATGTTTGATGCGGAACAATAATAAACGATTTTATTACCATTCTAGGTCTGGTACATACGTATGCAACAACTCCATTCAAAGCTCGACATCACCATTGACCGGTGGTCACGGATCTGTAGTTACATTATTTTTGCAACTGGGAAATAAAAATGTGAATCTGTACGACATGTCGACAGTGTCTAATGGATATTGTACCCCTAGGTAACATTTCTGCAAGGTGAGAGGCATAGAAAGTGTGGTGCGCTTACCTGCTAATACAAATGATCCTATACAGGAAATGAATCCCGAGAGGAAGGAGTTAAACGGGAAAGTTCCGACAAGGCAGCAATAACAGAATTGCAGCACTCCGGTCAGCACAATGTATGCCAAATAGCAGTCGATCAGTTTCAGGCGCTGAGACGTGTGAGATGAATATTCATCCCAAAATGAAGTTACTACTCCAGTAATACTCTGTACTGATGCCATTCTCACGGATCCACAGATCAAAGAAACAAAATTAGATTATTGAGGACTTGATCCAAGCTATCCCAAAAATTAGCACCAATTGTTTCGGTGTTGGTATGTCTCGTCGTCGCAGCTCCCGTTCGCAGAGATCGTGTCACTTGAAGTTTGTTGTACACGTCACGAGGCTGAACGCCATTTTCCGTCATACGTCATCATCAGACAGTAGCAAAAAACTATGCGCGAGACGACGGCGCGCCGTGCGCGAGGGCTACATGGCCGCGTGATTGGCTGTTGTTCTCTTTCCATTGTTTCTTGCTACAACGTACAACTATACTTGGTACGGTACAAGTAAAAAATAATAAGATTGTTGTTGATAGTCTTTGGCAAGTTTGAGTCGTGTCAAGAAGTCAGGTAGGATTCAGTACTAGGCAGTAGTGGAACCGTCAACGTGAGTGGTAGTCTCTGCCGATTTTTGAGGGTATATGGATTTGGTGTGCAAATGGCTTGCTGTGATTTACCTTTGATACAACATCCAGTGCTGTGTCCCAGCACTGAATGTTGTATCAAAGGTACGACCTCGTAGCACGTGCTAAACCTAAACAACTACTTGTTACTTCAAAAATTGACTTCGGTCTTTGGGAGTCTGTGAGAGAAACCCTCCGATCGTGCCGTTGTGACAGATTCCAGGGCCACGTCGAGGGGCCCTATACCACCACCCATGGCTGCTTCTGGACTTTTTTAGGTTTGGATCCAGCGCACGGACGGGCAAGAAAATGTGAAAAAATTGTAAATGCATTTTTTTGGCTTCTGGGCCCTCGAGTGGCAAGATCTGGAGTGTGTGGTGAAAATTGCACTCAAATCAGAGAGACACCAAAGTTTATAATTATAATAATATACTGTCCTATTGAGCGTTGAGAATGTTGAGAATGAGTGAGAATCAGGGAGTCGTATATACTGTACCCGGTATCATGATACGACTACCTGATGAGAATCGTTACCTTTGGTACACGTAAACTACATGTAGTCAATTTTGGGACATCGTTTTAAATGCACTTGGTTAGAATAATGGCTTTTACAGTACATGTACTACAAAATGCTAGCACTCCAGAGTGGAGGTTGCCAAAATACGAGATACATGCTCTGTAAGTTCATCATAAAACAAGTTCGGGGCAAGACTTGGGGCACAAGCACCCAGGGGTTATCGTGGTTATGGGCTATGCATGTTACATCACACGGGTACTTTTGAAATATTTGAGGAGTTTTTACATTTGAGCTGTGCTTTGCCGCTTGGAAGTTGGACTGCATAATAGTGCACACAGATTATGATCTCTTGCTGGTGCACACGTCTACTGTTAGACCACATGTTTTATAGTCAATTGTTAGTGATGTGAAATGAATTATGGTTATCAAAAACGGCAAACAGATGTACATACATGACTGTACTATTCAAGATGTGACGAATCATGGGGATCACCTTGAATCACCGTGCTGCATAGATAGACTAGACATGCTTCGGACGCAATAGCACTTGACCAGGGAGTCATAAAATAACGGTATTTTACGACTCCCAGTTGTTGACACACAGCACAGCCATTTTGGCAGCAGACCGCTACTGGCGTGGACGTTGGAATCCGTTGAGAAGTCCAGCGGCCACGGGGCGCTGGCCTTGCAGCCGCGAGCACTGCTGGTCCATGTTTACAACGGGTATGTGAAGTACAGTGAAGTATAGTGAAGTACAGTGAAGTACAGTGAAGTACAGTGCATGTACGCGCTAAAGGCAGTAAAGCCAGGCACTGGCCTCGGTCATCCCATCGGATTTCAATGTCCACGCCAGTAGTATCTAGGTTGCGGGTCATTATCCTCACGATAAAATTATGTCGTAAAATGGTTGTCTATTGTATTGTGTTATGAAGCAGATTTGTGTCAATGCACAAGAACATGAAATAGAACTCCTTTATGAAATTAAACAGCTAAAACAGTCGTGTAGATAAATCATAGCTTAACCCAAGAAGTTCATGGTAACAAGATGAAGGACACAGTGAGCGAAAATGAAGTCACCGAAAGCGCGCTGCGCAGAGATGCCCGTGAATTGCTCCTTGTTGGCGGGGTTGGACTGGACGCGAAGACATACTGTGCGCACAAAGACACATACACAGATACATGCAGACAGACAGACAGACAGACACACACACACAGAAGGCAAACCCGAAACAAAGTTCATCACGGATGGCGGACATTGAAAGACTCGTGTTTGTTTGTGACAACATGCAACATACGAGGGGAAGTGGTGCTGGTCATTTTGGAAGTTACATATATTTTCACAAATTTTCGGTGTACTTTTATTTTCGGTACTTTCAGTGCATCTGTTGCATACCTACAATTTCATTACACCGAACAAACACTAACACATAATCCAATAGGGAACTGCTTCTCTGTACCTAAAATTTCTGTTCACCAACCTGGCCTTTTCCCCGCATACCGACAATATTGAGCACCGAAAATTTCTGAAAATAGAGTAGTTCCTGGTTATAAGTCGACCCCACTTCTCTATACACACATCACAACTGTTGGCAATCACGAGAAAACGTTCTCGGAACCTAACCACTTTCCTCCTTCGATTATTAAAACGCAGATGGCCGATAACATACGATACCAAGAGTACATACCCCCCCCCAGAGCGTGCAACGCCTGATCCAGCTCTGCATAGGGTCTTGGTCGAGCGTAATTGGATCTTTGTGTCATAACACCGTACACATCTGAGGGGAACCCGGGGAGTCGCAGGGACTCTCGGATCAAAAACAACGGTGCCCTGCCTTGAGACTGGCCTGGCGCTGGTGTGGAGTGTACGCATGACATCAAAAGATCCAACTACAAGTACTAGTACGCTCGACCAAGACCCTATGCAGAGCTAGATGAGGCGTATACAGGATTAATTTTTGAATAAAAAGTCCAATGTTAGTAGTGCAAAGGCCATGCGGCATCCAGAACGGCAGCAGTACCGCATCTTCACAGACCCTGAACATTAGGCGAACTAGACTGCAGAGAGACAACTTTCCTTGGGAGTGGTTAGATTGAGAGAAAAAAGAAGTGTCACTTCGATGTAGAGTTTTAGCAAACATCTACACATTACCCTGGCTCACTGCATAGTGTGATACCAAAGGCTACTAGTTTGCATGCCAGTAGGCCATTTGGGTAACGGTGTCTTGTCAAGCTTTTGTGTTCTATCTTACACTTAAACTGAGCGTTCTATTTATTGCTGAATTTGGATTGTCTTTTTGCGTTGGTTCTTACTTTGGTTCCACGCAATTGACTTAATGAATAAACCCTTTCTCAAAGAGTGGAGGCCTCCGGTTCGATAGAGTGCTCAATGCGGAAGCAGAGCAGTAACACACGAGTCACAGAGTACCACGCGTCTGGATTGTTGTAACTAAAAGTTGTCTGAAGATTGCCATCTGGCATGAAACTTTTAGTTACAACAATCCAGACGCGTGGTACTCTGTGACTCGTGTGTAAACCCTTTCTCAACTATACGTATCATGATTGTACTGCTAGTACTTCAGTACATAATACTACATATACTGTAGTACGGTATCAGTGACACGGTCCGCATCAGTAACTGTTGACTTGTTGGTTACAAACCAAGAGACGTACATGTGCACAATATTATGACGGAGCTTGCTTGCTCCAAACACAATTTAGCTACTGTATGATATCACGGTCAAATTACCTGCTAGTACAAATGATCCGACACACGAGATGAAGCCTGACAGGAACGAGTTGAATGGAAAGGTACCCACTAAACAGCAATAGAGAAATTGGACAATTCCCGTCACTATGATGTACGTAAGGTAAGCATCGATGATCTTCAGCCGCTGGGGAGTCTTGACAGAGTATTCCTCCAGGAAGCGAGATATCACGCCGGTAACTGATGCCATTTTCGCAAAGGATAGTATTAGTAGACGATAAAATGAATTCAACAATGGAAGGAGAATGTAGGAAATAATTGTCGCCAGATTTGAGGACTTGATTGTGCTTTTGACTTCAGCTGACGTCATCTCTGCTTGGGGTTCGAACGTTCGCCATTTTCAACACTTTCCTGTTTTTGTTGTTTCGTTTTGTGCAAAAACAAGAATTTTGGTCACCTTCCCAACTGGCGGGAAATGTCTTGGCAACGAGCTGATTGGCACGTGGCGTGGCGGGAAAGTTCACGTTGTTTTCGGGCATGGAACGCTGAGGAAAGCAGGTGCGCCCTGGTCGTTTGTCTGAAAGTCTGTTGGGGCTTGATCTTGCCTTGCGAAAGGACGTTTAGTTGCTTCCGAGGTTTGTGTTGTTTGGTTTGATCTGTGGTGTTGGGGATACTGCGAAAGCACACGATGGAGGTGGACACTCTTGTTGTCCCGATGGGAGTTCCTCAAGCACCAGAATCTCCTCAAGACGAAGAGAGGTCGATAGACGATTTCGACCCTGATGACCCAACGGTAACTGAGGAGATGGCCGAAGAGGAGTCTGCTTTGCACGAGGAGAGCGGCGAGCGTGCGACAGAGGAACAAACAAAGGTAGCTTGGTGTGTAATGTGATGATGAATACCGGGTTGCGTGTGGCTGGGGCTTTGAAAGCTTGTGAATGCTCGATGCAAAGGTGATGGGAAATTTGAATATTCGAACTTATGTTACGGTATCGTCAGCAATTGGGTTTTGAAAGTGCTCAATCTATCCTGCACTTCTGTACCTGCGCCTTCGCAGCTTGTGGTAAAGGACTAGATTATGGATTATGCCAAGATGATGTTTCTGGGATTTCAGACTCAACATCTGCATACTAATAAATGGTCTACACTGTATTTTCAAGAGGCGTCCGGATAAGAGACGTTTGAGTGTGTTCATTAGCACTGATATACACTGCATGCAAAGCATGACTTGGCATACCATGCAATGATGTCATTTCCATGATCTCTGTATCGTTGATCCGCACAATCCAGCATTCAAAGTCTGATTTTCCCCATTGTTGTGTTACTGTACATCGTACTGCACTGGACAGCCTTGATCCGATTCCCGCTCCCTGCCGAAAAACCAGCTGGAAAGCAACATAGTGTGGGAGGGCGTATCAATGGTACTTTACGGTAATTAAATACTGTTCTCTTTTCTTTGCTGTTGGCTGCTGTTGCTGCTGCCGTTGCTGCTTCTGCTGCTGTTGGCATAGGTGATAGCTGAGTATCAAGCCATGGAGACAGCTCATCGCAGGAAGCGTCTCAACCACTTGCTGGAGAAGTCAAACCTGTACGCTAAGTTCCTGCTGAGCCGCATGGAGAGGCAGCTGGAAGCGGACAAGAATCGCCGAGCGCGCAAGTCGGAAGCGGCTGCGACGCGCGACGTGACGATCGAGACGGCACCGCCGTCACCACCACGTCACTCTCCGGCTACGAGTCACTGCGACGACGCGTCCAAGACAACAACGGAACCTGCCCCGTCCACAGCCAGCAGTCAGCCCAATGCCACCGAGAGCGGAGCAAGTCTACGCCGTTCATCGCGGCGATCAAAGAGTTCCGTAAGCACATTGGAACTAACACCGTCGCAATCATCGTCATCCAACAGGACCTCACCGGCAACTAGCGATGCTGGCACCGAAGACAAGCCACCGAAAACGTCTCGACGGAAAGTCGTGCCGAGGAAGCCGTCTTCCCCCCTGCCCACGCCGACATCCAGTCAGTGTAGTGACGAGGATGAGACGGTATCGCCGTCGTTACGGCCATCACGCAAGCGCAGGCGGCCTGCTCACATGGCGGATTATAAACTGGCTGACTACCTGGACCATGACGTGAGTGACGCGGACTTTTGCTGCATATTATAAATGCACTGTGTACTAACTTATGCAGCGCTCTTCTGGACACTGCACTGTGTACTAACTTATGCAGCGCTCTTCTGGACACTGCACTGTGTACTAACTTATGCAGCGCTCTTCTGGACACTGCACTGTGTAGAGGGGACGGTTTCAAATAGGACACAGGTTGCAAACCGGAACGGACTCAATATTCACATTCTCTCTTGGTATTTTGATTAGAAGACATATGTTACAGTGAGACTACGATGTGTTATACTCCGAGCCAAAATTTCATGTCTCTGCGATGACCAGAAGCGCCATATCAAGCAGGTGAGTTTTTGACGTGTTGCTTCGCACTGCAACTTGAGTTTTACGACTTTCAAAAAATCAACTTCTTGTCGCAGGTAAACAGCGGCTCGCCTCTCGCCGATAAAGCACCGCATACCAATCAAAACTAATGGAAGCACACACAAGGCTTATTGTTACTCTGTACTGGCCGTCGTGGAGCGATAGCAATTACCTAATTTCAGACCCAGAGTGAATTTGACGTGCACTCTAAAACGTGTCCGGTTTGGAGCCACCTCTGATTTGAACTTTTTTGAAGCGAAAAATTGGGCAACTTTGAGGCAATGGGTCAACACAAAGGAGTGGCTCAGTTCGATTGACTCTGGCCCCAGAGCAAACTTCAACATGCCAGTTTCCTTCCACAAACATATTTCGAGTGAAAAATCAACGCTGATGATCGGTTTGGGTCTATACAAATTTGGCTGTCAAAGCGTCCCAGTATCGAGCCGTCTTCTCTACTAACTTATGCAGCGCTCTTCTGGACACTGCACTGTGTACTAACTTACCGTACTCACTTGATTAGAAGCCCCTCTCGAATAAAAGCCCCTCTTGAATAATAGCCCCCCCCCCCCCCCTTCAAGGACTGTTTGAAAAACTCCAAGCCCCTCTCGAATAGAAGCCCGGACTATTTGCAAAGCATGGGGTGAACAGGTAGTGCCATGTATGAAGGTCAAGTGCGCAAAAACGTCTCGTGCATGTTCATATTGGTACATGTCTTGGTCGACGTAGTGTATGTACACTAACTCGGGGGCCTAGTTTCTGTGAATATGAAAGTTTAGAGATTCGATTGGAATACTGGTGTGGAATGAAACAATAAAGCCCCTCTCGAATAGAAGCCTCCTCAAATTTGGTATTGAAAAAATTGAAGCCCCCGGCTTCTAATCGAGTGAGTACGGTATGCAGCACTCTTCTGCATAATGCGCTATGTACTAACTTATGCAGCACTCTTCTGCACAATGCACTGTGTACTACCGTGTTCTCCGGAGTATCAGCGTATCACTAACAGGCTTATGCTACGATGGTCAACGATGATTGATAAAAAAACAGGGCAGGGGTCTGTATTTCGTGACAAAAAGACACACACACACACACACAAACACACACACACACAAACACACACACACACACACAAACACACACACACAAACACACACACACACACAAACACACATTCCAAACTGCAGTGCGGGTAAACTAAACTACCGCCATTGTATTCTTGCTCTTGTGTTCCATTTTTTACTGTTCTTTAGTCGTTGTCTAAGCGCGTAAAGACCACAGTGAAGCCACCAGCACGTTCGGCCAAGGAGACCAAAGCAGCGGATTCTGAAGAGCCACTCACCGAGGCTGCTCCAACCACTGCAGCAGCGGCGACGGCCGTGTCGGGTAACCAACCCATGGAAACGGCATCTGCTACTGCCACCGCTGCTTCTGCCGATGATGACGGTGAGAGAGAGAAGACAGACAGACAGGAAGAGAGAGTTTATGTTTGTGTATGTGTGTGTGTGTGTGTGTCCTGGAGATTTGAAGGGACATTCCCGCTTCCGCTCTGTCTTACACCACTATCATTCTGATTGTGGATTGGTGTTCAAGGTTCAATGTGTGTGTGTTTGTGTGTGTGTGTGTGTTTGTGTGTGTGTTTGTGTGTGTGTTTGTGTGTGTGTGTGTGTGTGTGTGTGTGTGTGTGTGTGTGTGTGTGTATTCATGTTGTCATATTCATGTTGTAGGTGCTATCCTTCAGCCTAAGTTACTCAGCGGTGGCACCCTGCGTGAGTACCAGCTTGACGGGCTGCGTTGGCTGAAAGTTCTGTACGAGAACGGCGTCAACGGCATTCTGGCCGACGAGATGGGCTTGGGAAAGACCATCCAGTGTATCTCACTGATCACCCATCTCATCGAGTTCGGCATTGAAGGTCCGTTTCTGATCGCTGCACCGCTCTCCACGCTTCCCAACTGGGTCAACGAGTTCAAGAAGTTTGCGCCCCTGGTAAGTGCTTGTTTGGTTTCCGCGGCCTCTATTAGCTGTTGTGTCTACTTCTACTTGTCCTTGTTCGTTTGATTTTGACTGTATTTCACCTGACGATAAGGCTTGAAAGTATACTAGTGAAGCTGAAGACTTTCAACATGTTCTTCAAGAACCTAAAGTGTGTACTTCTTCTTTGTATTGTCGCACTCTTGTCTCCGAGGAAACTGTTCGCGTCTACTTCTCTTGCTGTTTATGGTTTGCCATGGAAACTGTCTTGTGTGTTGTCATCACCGGCATGTGTAACGTTACTCATGTGTTGTCTGCTTTCCTTCTGCTTTGTGCACCCGTGCCGGTGTGTGTGGGTGGGGGGGGGGGGGGGGTGCATGTGTGTTGGTGTGCGTGGATGTGTGTGTGTGTGCGTGGGTGGGTGTTGGTGTATCGTTTGCAGGTGCCCATCTGCCTGTACCACGGATCCGGCACCAACCGTGAGCAACTGCGTCGTGGCTTCAAGAAGCGCAAGGTGGACATTCCCGACCTGAACGTGGGCAAGGTCATGCCCGTCATCATCACATCCTACGAGATCATAATGCGTGATCGCAAGTTCCTGCAACGCTGGCTCTGGAAGTACATCATTGTTGACGAGGGACATCGCCTCAAGAACCTGAACTGCAAGCTCATCAGGTAGGGCTAGTGGAAAACTATGCTCAAACTTCAGTATAACATGCCTCCAAGGGCCGCATAAATCTGTACTTTATAGCAGCGATACTGTATGCGTGTATTTATTTCCAAGTTGAATGACTGCTATAGCATCATGCAGGCTCCGTATCCCGTAGCTTCCTGTATCCGGGGTACTGACATGCTGAAGCGTTTCTCTGTTTTCCGTCTTGGAACATGGAGGTGAGTTTGTGGAAACTGCACCGCTGTTCTGCACATGATCTCGGCAGTTTGATATTTCCACAAGATGTCCTGTGTGTGAACCGTTATCTCGGCAGTGTGATATTTCCACAAGATGCCCTGTGATGTTGAACCGTGATCTCGGCAGTTTGATATTTCCACAAGATATCCTGTGATGTTGACCGTGATCTCGGCAGTTTGATATTTCCACAAGATATCCTGTGATGTTGAACCGTGATCAAGGCAGTTTGATATTTCCACAAGATATCCTGTGATGTTGAACCGTGATTTCGGCAGTTTGATATTTCCACAAGATATCCTGTGATGTTGAACCGTGATCTCGGCAGTTTGATATTTCCACAAGATATCCTGTGATGTTGAACCGTGATTTCGGCAGTTTGATATTTCCACAAGATATCCTGTGATGTTGAACCGTGATTTCTTTTATCCTGCAGATTAGTAAGTGTTGAACATGGACAGTTGGATTTCATTGGTTTCCTGTTCTTGTGTGTGTTCGTGTGCGTGTGTGTTCGTCTGTTCGTGTGTGTGGTTGGTATTGTCACCATGGGGACGGCGGTGCTCAGGGAGCTGAAGCAGTACAGCTCGGCTAATCGGCTGCTACTGACCGGTACACCTCTGCAGAACAACGTCAGTGAGCTATGGTCACTGCTCAACTTCCTGCTGCCGGACATCTTTGACGATCTGTCCAGCTTCCAGTCCTGGTTTGACTTCAGTGACATTGCTGATGAAGCTGGCAAGCAACGCATCATTGCCGAACAAGAACAGCGGAATGTGGTGGACACATTGCATCAGGTAAACACACTGCGCTACACTGTTGTGCACACACACACACACACACACACACACACACACACACACAGAGACACATTGCATCCGGTAAACACACTGCTCTACACTGCTGTGCACTGTTGTTGTCTAGCTAGGCATGGTGGTAGCATGACATCATCTTTAGTGGTAGTGTGACATCATCTATTGTGGTGTGTGTACTCGTGACACAATGAGTATTGCGAGAGACAGACGACCGCGCGGCGCACACACACAGAAGAGAGAGAGAGACAGACAGACAGACAGACAGGCCGGCAGAGGGAGAGAGAGGGAGAGAGAGAGAGAGAGAGAGATCCAACTTTGAGCACTGCTTTGTTGCACTTGGTCCCCTGTTTCTTCAGATCCTGACGCCGTTCCTGCTGCGGCGTTTGAAGAGCGACATTGAACTCTCCATTCCCTCCAAGAAGGAAGCAGTCGTCTATGCTAAGCTGACGGACGTACAGCGGACATTCTCCAAGGCGCTGCTTGCTGTTTCGCTGAAGAAGGAACATGAGAACCGACGTAAGCCACGGCGGCAGAGTGCGGCCATTGCTGGGGCGGCTGCCGAGGTCGATGATGACACAATTGAGGACATCGACTTGGAGGAGATGATCCGCAAGAACAAGAGAGAGTGCGGCGTGTAAGAGTCACTTTGCGGGGTTTTGGCTTGACTTTGGCTTGCTATGCGTCTTGTACCTGTTTCTAATTTGTCTGTTGTCTGATGATGTATCTCTGTGGGCATTTGCAGTCGTCCTGTTCAGTTTTGCTGACTTTCACAGTTTAGTAATCTGTTGTGTAATAATGTTTCTCTGTGTGGCGGCTACACCACCTTGTCTTACAGGCTGGCGCAGTCGGTCGTGAACCTGTCGCTGTGCAACGTGCACATGCAGCTGCGCAAGTGCTGCAACCACCCCTACCTGATCGAGTACCCACTGGATGTGTACGGCCGATACCGGGTCGACGAGGAAATCGTCACCAGCAGCGGCAAGATGATGGTTCTTGATTCGCTGCTGAGATACTTACGCTCTCACGGACAGAAGGTTGGTTGCATGTGTTCTCAGCTCAGCTCCTCATTTTAAAAATATCAAAAGATCTCTTTTGCGGGCAAGCAAAGCACAATTTGCCATGGTGGGAGATTAGAACACAACTCAAATAGACAATTACTGAAAACGATTGCATGAAAGGAAGAATGCGAGAGATCATTTTTAAATACTGTTTGATGATCCTCTGCTGTGTTCTGTGTTCTGCTCCTTTTTGTCATTGAAAATCCTATGTACAGTAGGAACTCACTTAGGGGCCGTCCAAGGTTACCAATAATATTTTCAAAACGAAATGTTTTCGTTTGTGGGTGGGTGGGTTTGATGGAGTTTCGTTTTGAAAATAATTATTGAATGCTGATGGAGAATGCCCAGTTACTTCTGGATGTCGAAAATTGACATCAATATTTTATTGGAATTCGTTTTACCTGCAGAAAAGGTGGGTGGGTGGGTGGGGGCTGAAAAATACTAAAACTTTTCGTTTTGTAAAAACAATCGGTAACCCCGGACGGCCCCTTATGGGCCGTCCATAATTATCAATCTTTTACACAAAACGAAAAAGTTTCGTTTGTGGGTTGGTGGGTCAAGGAGAGTTTCGTTGTCAAAAATATCGATAGCTGAAACATCAATCAATTCTAGCTGCCAAGTCAATACATTTTTCGTTCACGGGGGTGGGTGGGGGAGGGTTCATACCTAAACTTTTTCGTTCGGTGAAAATGATCGATAATGCCGGATAGCCCCTTAGTGCATGCTCTGATATGACATACTCTTGCTTAGTATGGGCAGTATCCGGAGCACGGATGTGTTGATCCACGCTGAAGTATGTTTGGATACCAGGGGCGTCGGAAGGTATTTTAGTGTGGTACGGTCAGCCATCTGAAGTACAATTTACTCGTGTGGGAGTGGTGGCTAAGCCGAACATTTTCCAGATCAGTGTATTTTATTGATTCACGGGATACCTGGGGCAAAAAGTGGTACGGTCAATACTGTAGTGACCGTACCGTGTCCGACCCCCCCCCCCCCCTGGCTACTAAGTACTCTTTCTCGCTACCCAGGGGGGTGCGTCTTATGATATCAGAGTTTCGCTGTGCCGAGCCCGTGATGTGGCTTGTTGAAGCATCGTGAAGAACGTTCTCTGTCTCGTTGCTTGTCTGCCAGGTGCTCGTGTTCTCGCAGATGACTAAGATGTTGGACATCGTTGAGGACTACGCGGGAATGCGTAGCTACTCGTTCTGCCGCTTGGACGGCAGTGTGAGCCTGGACGATCGACAACAGCAGGTGAGAGCTCTGCCATGATCTATTGTACTTGGTGGTGATTAGAATTTAGAACCACATACGGTATTTTCCGCAATGCTGGCCACGGCGCTTATTAGTGTAGCCCAAATATTTCACCCAGTTCAAAAATCCACACATAATCTCTGAAATGATGTGACGCTTATTTCAGACGGGCGGTAATAAAAGACCGGCCCCCACTTCAGAGAATGCTGACGTGTGTGTGTGTGTGTGTGTGTGTGTTTGTGAGTTTCACGGCTGCACTTCTGCCATACACGTTCATCGATTTGATGTTGGCAATCTGTATACTGGGCTTAATGTCTGCGTCCATAAAATCTAAATCTGCCCTGTCGTGCATCGGTTGTGTTTCCAGATCAAATACTTCAATGAGGAACCGGATGCCTTCTTGTTCCTGCTGAGTACTCGTGCCGGTGGTCTGGGAATCAACTTGACTGCAGCTAACGTTGTCATTATCTTTGATAGTGATTGGGTAAGACGCTGTGTCGGTGTGTGTGGGTGTGCTGTAGCAGCATGTCAACCTTCAGTGACACCTTTGTTGTGCCGTACTGGTGTCCCCCTTTCCAGTATGCCCTGGCCCAAGCAGGCAGCACCATGGTATTGCTACAGGTCCTGATATGCTTGTCAGTAGTGTTGAGTGGAAACTGCAGTTTTCCTGACTGCGGTGGCTCCTCGTTCAGTCCTTGCGCTAGTCAACCCTGACTGTAGATTATCTCGTTACTTCGGTGGACTGTTGGTCCCTGTTTCATCCATTCAAAACTGAACCCATCCCACCGTGATGGAGTGTTGCAATGCCCTTTGCAAAACATGGTATTGTCATGGTATTGTGACTATTGTCAGTTGCCCTGTGATTTCAGTAACTTCCTCTGTGTATGCCTGCTAGCATTCTACAATCCTGCATGTTTGTTTGTTTCTCAATCGAGGATGTCTATGCTTTCCCCCATTGCCCCTGCCTGGCGTGCGTGTTCAGAATCCGCAGGCCGATCTGCAGGCACAGGACCGTTGTCATCGCATCGGACAGACGAAGCCGGTCACGGTACTGCGATTGGTGGCGGCCAATTCCATTGACCAGCACATGGTGGAGAGAGCTGGTGCCAAACGCAAGCTGGAGAAGATGATCATCCACAAGGGTAAGAAGTTCTTGCGCTGCGCAGTGTAGATTGGCTGAACTGTTTCCGACTACACTCGTATCTCGCTGATCCTGGCAGTCCGGAACCGGGCACTGTCCGTAACTTTGAAATGTCTGTAAATCTGAATCACATCCGTTTCAATGGGGAAGGGCCAACTCTGAGGTCTGTATATGGTACTGTACATGTACACAGGGTTCGCAGCGAAGTTTGGAAGTCTGGAAAAAGTTTGGATTTTATAATTCAATTTTCCAGGTCTGGAAAAAGTTTTGAAAAGGCGCTCCTTTTGAAAAAGTATGGAAAATGTTTTGAATTTCGATTTTTTGGCCGCAGATGTGCTGCACTACTGCAGTGCAAGTGGCCGTTTTGAGTGCCGCGATAGAAGACGCGCTGGCGATGCGTGGTGTTCACTGCATGTACGCGTCTCGTACAGTCATTTCAGTGCAGCTCAAGCGCGCGCGGCCGGTGATGACTTTTATTAGGCCGTTTTTCGTTACTGGCGCTCGCGCTCGACTTTGATTCTTTGAAGTCGGGACAGCAGGATGGCGAGGTCCTTTCGCACTCAGATGAGTTTGCTGGCGAGGATGTAGCCGTCTTTTGCGCTGAGATGGACACCAGCTATGTAAATGTTTCATTGGAACCCCCTCTGGAGGCGGATTTGAACTTACGGAGGGGAACTCTTGGCGCATGAATCCCCCTGCTATTTTCAGGGGCTTTAGCTGCTGAAGGCAATATCATCGCAATGCACCTTGGTGAATTTGTTGATGGTAGTAGTACCAGGGAGGATTTTACTACGCCCTGGTTGTACTCGTAGCAATAGTGGAGAAGACAGTCGTGCAGAAGAGATTTATAATTTATTTTTCCTGCACGAGTGGGTTTGGAAATTCTTGAAATTGGTTTGGAAAAAGTTTGGAAATAGTTTGGAATTTTGTGTGCTTGGTTGGCTGCGAACCCTGTGTACATGTATATAGTCTAGCTAGGCATGGTGGTAGCATGACATCATCTCCAATGGCATCATGACATCATCTTCCCGTTTCAATGGGGAAGGGCCAACTCTGAGGTCTGGATAAGGTACTGTACATGTATATAGTCTAGCTAGGCATGGTGGTAGCATGACATCATCTCTAATGTAACTTTGCAATGTCAGTAACTGATCATTGTACAAAATAAAATAAAAAATAACTCTGAATTACATCCGTCTCAATGGGGAAGGGACAATTCTGAGGTCCGGATAAGGAGCTATGAGTGTATGTCTGAACTGTTGTGTACCGTTATGCTGCATGTTTGGACCAATGTTACAGCGTTTCTGGCATTGGCCGAATGCAACGTGTGTAGTTGTCCTCTTCAAATGTGATAATAAGATGCACTATTCTCTCTGTTCCTCAGTCACGATGCCATCATTTTTTCCACTGCTCTCTCTCTCTCTCTCTCTCTCTCTCAACAACCTGCTTGTTAAACCCTGCACCTGCTTTCAGGCGTAAAAAAACTATTGTAGAGGTATCAGACCTCGTTTGTTAGACTCGCCTGCTGTCTTTATGAATGTAACTTACTCTCTCTCTCTCTCTCTCTCTCTCTCTCTCTCTCTCTCTCTCTCTCTCTCTCTCTCTCTCTCTCTCTCACCATTACACCATCAGACCGGGAAACAACATGTCCACACTGTTTGAGAAAACTCAAATGGAAACAAAACTTGCCACGACATCTACAGACCTGCCCGGTCTACAAATCACTTTCAACCACCTCAGCCAAAGCAGACGGCAGTAGCGGGGATGGTCGGACGACTTCCATGATTGATTCAATGCACTTCAGCCCATCTGTAGGTCAGACAATGACTCCTGGAGATGAATTGCGAACAATCCCGCACGAATCCACTCCCTGTCATAATGAGTCTTTACTTCATGTCCTGAATCAACGGGACATGGACAAGGTAGAAGTCCGGCAGTCCCTACTGCTACCGTCAGCCAAAAACACCAAGGCATGGCACACAATAAACGTTCAGTTGAAGATCCATCTCACTCAACATTTCCCAACCTCATACCTCAAAAACACTAACATCGAAGAGACTCTGGACAAACTAGAGAACTTCATTCACTGGTTTTTCGACCAGAAACCACCACCACCTCCACCAAAACACAAGAATGCAAATAAAAACCGTGCAGTGGAAAAACTCCGGGCTCACAGGCGTGATTTAAAGCGCCAATTTCGTAAGATCAAAAACCCGGACGAAGTACCTGCAGCGCTCAGAAATGAGTATTTTTCAATTGGAAAACAAATCAAGCGTCTTTTGAAACAACAAAAGATGTACGACGATCGATCCCGGAACAAGAGGGACCAGGATGCCTTTCTCAAGGACCCATATGCCTTCGGAAAGAAATTGTTTCAACCAACCAACCATGTCAAACCCACTTTCTCTGACACTACCTGCTTTGAGTACTTCCAACACACATATGCAGACCAGGATCGTGCCACTTCGTACGAATCCTGCCCCAGTGCAGGGAAGCCCCGGGATTGCACCCACCCAGTCGATGAGGGGACCCCTACATGGACTGAATTTCAGAATGTTTTGAAGAAGTGTCGCAACACCTCTGCACCGGGTCCTGACAAGATACCTTACATAGTTTGGAAGCTTTGTCCCTCCCTTCAATCCATTCTTTTCACCATCTTTGGGCGGGTTTGGGAGAGCAAGATCATTCCAAGGCAGTGGCAGGTAGCGTGTATCACACTCCTGGCCAAGGGGGAGGTGTCTGATGATCCTTCGAAATTCCGACCGATTGCTCTAGCGAACACGTCCGGGAAGATCTTTTTCACCTTAGTTGCAAAGCGCCTCTTGAAACATATGCTAGGCAATAAGTTCTTCGATGGTGACAACCAGAAAGGATTTATGCCTGCAAAGGCTGGGTGCTTAGAGCATACATCACTTTGTTATGAGGCGATGCGTGATGCAAAGACGGCAAAACGCCAAATTTGCATTGCGTGGATAGATTTGAAGAATGCATTTGGTTCAGTGCGCCACAATCTGATACAGTATGCTCTAACCCACTACAGCCTTCCTTTGCAATTCAGGAAATTAATTTTTTCCTACTACGACAGTCTTTGCGCTTTCGTCGTACAACCACACACACCCACCTTTAATTACAACATTGGTGTTTTCCAGGGGTGTCCCTTGTCCCCGGTCCTTTTCAATATTTGTTTCCAGCTTCTGCTGGACTCACTTGCAGCCCCTGAATTAAGTTGCCTCTCCTATGATTTTAAATCTGCCCCTTTGCAAGTGTCCCAAACAGCTTTTGCTGATGACTTAGGCCTCTATAGCAAATCTAGTGCAGGTTGTCAAAAACTCATTGCGGTCACGGAGGACTTTCTCTCGTGGACCCAATGTATGCAGGCGGCGCCGCACAAATGCAAAAGCAGTGCAGCAAAGCTTGTAGATGGCCGGTACAAACCTTACGATCCCTGCCTGACAATGTCAGGGAGGAAGATCGCTTTCATTGACACTGCAGAGTTCAAGTTCCTGGGGCGAAGGCTGCATGCTGATTGCTCTGAGCAGACCCAGCGGGAAGACATCCGTCAACTCACTGTATCTCTCATGCAAAAAGTAGATGGCTCTTGGCTTCAAGACCACCACAAGCTATGGCTTTACCACCATCTTGTAGTGCCCAAGCTTTCTTGGTCTTTCCAGGTTCTTGAACTCACACAAGGTTTTGTACGTGAACTGCACTTTATGTGTTTACCATTTCTGAAGAAATGGTCAGGCCTACCTCGATGCGCAAACTCTGCCATTCTTTTTATTGGCAGTCGCAAACGCTTTGGCTTACGCCTCCACTACCTTCCTACGGTGTGGAAAAAGTGCCAGTCCATCAAATGGCACATTCTTCGATCGAGTTGGGACGCGCGCATGAGGGCGCTGTACACTCTGCGTCGGAGTAAGGATGCGAAGCTGACAAAGCGATATGCGGCGACAATAGAGCTGGAGTGTGCAGAGGCATCAGTAGGTTCAGGGACTCTCCGTCCACCGTCATCTTCAAGTCATCGTGCAGGGTTGGGTGCTCCTGCTCCGAAGCAGCATTCCAAACCCCCGAGGAAGGATCTCCTTCAAACATTTGAGGAGATCAACGCGCAGGAGCAGATTTTGAGGCTGAAGACTCTTCAGGTGCAAGGCAAGTGGTTGGAGTGGACATCGGTGATGTGGCAGGACCTCTCGTGGAAATCCCTTTTGTACGGTGGTACTGGTAAGGATTTGAAATTTCTTCTCGCATCAACCCTCGACGTGCTACCTTCTCCGACGAACCTACGCCGTTGGGGAAACACCGTAGTGGATCCGTACTGTAGTTTGTGCCGTACCTGGGCCTGTACTACGCGCCACGTGCTTGGCGCTTGTCGCGTAGCACTGGACCAGGGACGTTACACCTGGAGGCACGACAACGTACTCGGGGTCATCGTCAGGAACATGCGTGAGGAGATTCGAATCCGCACTGCTGCAAACACCGTACAAACCGAAAATTCAAATGAGCTTGACTTCATCTCGTTTTGCAAGGCGGGAGAGAAGCCAGTTCGCGTTCAGCCCAGACGAAAGTTGGTTACGACTGATCTCCTGTCAGCGGCCTCAGACTGGAAACTTCTTGTCGACTCAGTTAGTGCAAAGATTTCTTTCCCTAGCTGTGTTGCACTTACCACCCTAAGACCAGATATAGTTCTGTACTCTACGAGTCGTAGGATTGTATTCTGGATGGAGTTGACAGTTTGTGCTGAGGACAGATTCAGTGTCAGTAACTCGCGGAAGGACAGGCGGTATGCGGATCTGGCCGATCAATGCCGAGCAAACGGGTGGCAGGTCGTTTCTTTTTCGGTTGAGGTAGGTGTGCGTGGTTTCATCCCGGACTCTCTTCGGAGGGCTCTGAAAGCGCTTGGATTTTCTAATCGAAGAATAAAATTTATTTGTAATTTGTGCAGTAAGACGTCTCTGCGAAGCAGCTACATCATCTGGTTGCGGCGTCAACAAAAACACTGGTCGGAAGATCCACTTTTCTGAGGTACTGTATGTGGGGCTCCGTTTATTGAGGTGCGTTGAAATTTATTCTCTTTATCTTATTATTTCTTTTCTATAATTTCCCCATATGAGTTCCTATCAGTTGCTGTGAACACCTTGAGTGGAGAGCGCTTGCTCGAGCGTTGAACCGGGTTCTTAATCCACCATACCCAGTTCGCAAGGCTGGGCGGGGTTGTGAGCAGGCTTTCATTTCATCTTTTCTTATTATTTCTTATTATTTCTTATTATTTCTGCTTTTCATCTCATTACAAAAATTCTGCGCTTTTTCTCCATCTGCGCATAAAATCTAGACTGACAACCTGCTTGTTAAATCATGCACCTGCTTTCAGGCGTAAAAACCCTGTTGTAGAGGTCTCAGTCCTCATTTGTTAGACTTACCTGTCTTTATAAATGTAACTTACTCTCTCTCTCTCTTCTCTCTTCTCTCATTTTCTCTTCTCAGGCAAATTCAAGGGTCGCAACCAGGACGATGCGCCTGTCAACTCAGCAGAGCTGTTGAAGATGTTGAGCAGCGAGGAACACGACGAGAGTATGTCCAGTAATGCCAACCGTCTCGACGACGAGAAGATTGCTGCACTGCTGGATCACAGCTCGGTGACTGTGGCTGTATGATATTGGCCTTTTCACAGCCCAGTTCCGTTCCATCCTTGCTGACTGTCCCACCGCGTAACTCCACAAACTCACCCATTGTCCCAGCTAGCAGTCCCACTACCACACATTTTACACTGTTTTCAAGCTTCTTGTCAAGTGTGCAAAGAAGCTTCGTTTTTTTACCACATTCTAATGAGTTCCATCAATATTTGTATGAGTACTTGGCAACTTCTACTGTACCCTGACTTTCGAATATACAATTGGGTCTAGAACTCTAGATGCTTTTAGATACAAATTCTGCTGCTGCTGCTGCTATCCCCGACATGCTTTAGCCTGTAGTTATTTACTGAGATTTCCCACTGATCGTAGTCCTCCGGCTGAAGTATTTATTACGGCCCCGCACGCCTTCTGATCCTTCCGATCATCACGTTGAACGAACTAGTAACTACCTTGGTGTAGTGTTTGTAGTTGTATCGACATGCCATTGCCATGGTAGTGTTGCTACACTCCAGAAAACAGAGTAGAAAATTAGTCAATAGCGCACTGCATGATCTAGAAAGACAGATGTCTCCTTTCTTTCTTTCTGAATTGTGTCCGTATATTTGACCCAATGCTCTTTCTGTTCACTGCTGCCTTACTTAAACACCGGCATCGCTCAGGTGCTGTGCGATTCATTCCGGCGTTGCTCCTGCTCCGCTTGCATTCCGTGATCTTGTGCTGCTCGCTATTTCTCGACTTTTTTTCAGAAATGACGACTGTTGTAAACATCCACTTGTTTTGTGTCCATCTGCGACGAACAAATTCCAGACCATCGATTCACTTGTACTTATGTTGTGGCCAGTGAGTTGTATAGAGGGTCTCAATAAAGGATGAGCTAGGGAGTTGTATAGAAGGTCTATACAACTCACTGATGTACAAGTAGTAGAATGTTACTCCCTGGTTGTGCATGATCGCCACGGCCGCTTGGCGCAGATAATTTTATTGCGATATGCTCGAAAGTTGTTGAAACTGGCTGAACCATAATTATGAAGTTTATGGTAGGCAATTCCTGGAATCCTGCACTTCTTTATCCATATCAAGAGTGCATGTGTTATGGGTGGTTGATAATAATTCTGCCGATTTTCTACCTTCGTTATCCGCCAAGGGCTAAACAGCAATCGTGCATGGGGTCTGGTGAAATGTTCGTCAGGCCCCGTGCATTTTGCACTGCAGTGGTCCCTCTATAATCTGGCACCATTTGTGCTAAGGACGTTCTGCTGGATTAGAAAATCTGATATACTGCTGCAATGTGCATGAAAAGGACATTTTGGTAAACTAAAAATTATGCTGGTCATTGTAGAGGGTGCTGGATTAATGAGGGAAGACTGTACACATTTTCGCCATGAATTTATCAAGGGAGTGCTGAGTGGTGAAATTAATTTCAGGACTCCCTGGTCTGAACAAAATCTCTTGGACAAAAAGAAGTCCAAACCTCACCCTCCTAATCCCACAACGTGTGTTTCAGGGATACCGTTTTTCTTTTGCTATGATCAGAACAAACGTGTTCAATACTTGGTAGGAGGAAGACCAGAATAGTGCACGCATTTCTATTTTGATGTAGAAACGCGGTTTTTGGAACACAGCTGATGAAGACAATATACGCAGGAATGTCCACGGCATGGCCAAACATGAGAATCCTGGATCTTGGAAGTGTAACTTCTCTGCACAAGTGGGTAAAGCCCGATTCACAATACAACTTTCTGCGACGCGACACGCGATTTGCGACAGTTGCGACAAGAAACTGCCTGCCGCAAGCTGTCGCAATGCACCTGTCGCAGAAGTTGAAGAAAGTTCAACTTTTGCGACAAGCGACATACACAAATGGAGTACAGTTTCGACCCTGGGTGCACGCGCATAGTACTACTTGTGCATGAGGATGTCGCAAACATGAAGAATATTGTGAACCGTGTGTCGCTGTCGCAGCTCGTCGCATGTCGCGTCGCAGAAAGTTGTATTGTGAATCGGCCTTAAGGCAAAGTAGCAACAACAACCGTTCAACTACACGTCATATAGCTGGGTGCCAAGTAGTGGAGAAGAGCTAGGGCTGAGCAACGCACACAGAGCACACTTTGATACGACACAATCACATGGGCGTAGTGGTTGAAGCGGAATGCAATCATTATTTCAACAAGCTACTCTTCATTAGAATATGAGGGAGGTCTGGCTCAATTTGATGTATTAAAAAAAACACATCTGACAACACCAATAACAACTGAACGTCGATTAAAGAGAGTAATTTATATATACGCTGCAGTCTGCAATAAAAGTATTTGCTAAAAACGAATAATTTAACACCCAGAACAAGGCAAGGCAAGGGAACATCCTAATTTCTAATGAAGACTAGTAGCAGTGGCGAGGCTTCCTGCAGCTTCCTTCATAGGAAGAGGTTGCTAGAGCAGACCCGCTCTTTCCTCACTCTGCAACACTATCGACCTCGTTAATCAATCAGTTATTACAACGTTTCGGCATACCTGATGAGGGCAAATTGCCGAAACGTTGTAATAACTGGTTGAAAAACGAGTTGGATAGTGTTTACAGAGTGAGTGGCAAAGAGTGGGTATGCTCTAGACACCTCTTCCTATGAATGAAGCATAATTATGTACAAAGCAGGAACACATTGCCAACCGGGCGAAGCAGCAGAGCGTGAAAAGCACGAAAATTCAACAGCAAAAAGAAGACTGCTATGTACAGCAAATGGCATTCATCAAACAGGTGGTGGCTTCCATGTACATGAATGCATACCGCCTCGTTGAGTCTGTGCAACCAGGAGAAGTCCGGGCTGTCTCGTATAGTCTACACAACACACACACCTTGTAATGTTTGTACACATGTATGAGGGGTCGTTAGCACATCAAATATGACAGAAACCGTATGATAGAACCAAAATACAAGTATAAAAGCGTTCAATGCACCAACAAGGTGTTGAGTGTAATGTTGTATATGACCCGGGTTGGCTACGCTAAGACGTAAATAAACTCTGACATGCGCTTGCACGCACACGCGGGTCAAAGCACACACCACACACACGTACACACAGTTACACACGTACACACACATGTACACACAGTTACACACGTACACACAGTTACACACGTACACACATGTACACACACGTACACACACACACAGTCGCTACAGGCCCAGGGAGAGCCTCACCAGGTCCTGTGCCAGCACCCTATACCGCTCCGGGTCGTCTCGGTAGACTTTAGACGCATCCACGTTGGCACTACTCTCAATGTTCGGCTCAGCCAACATGCTGACAACAGAGAGAAGGATTTTCTCCACAGACTGCACGGGACTCCATCGTTCTAAATGACTCTCGTAACCCAGTGGATCATCGCCCGGGGCGTGTAAGATCGAGATGCACACCTCTCCGTCCGGGAACACATTCGGATGGAAGATGCGCGTGTTAAACTTCATCTTCGGCGGCTCCATCGGGTAGTCCTTTGGGAAGCTGAGCGTGGCCGAGAATACACCATCCTCGTACGCAGTTCCTTCAGGACCAACGATCACCGCTTCCCACTCAAAGAGATTGTCCTCACTTTTCGGACCAGCAATGACACCTTCGGGCGGATTTCTTGTGATCTCTGAAAATTGGAAAGGAAACACACAGGTTGTGCACAGGTTTAGGATAGAAAGAGTAGAATAATGCCATTAAAACTGAACACGCACAGGTTTTGTACAGGTTGCACGCTCTTTGTTTATGGACTCTTGATATGTGGTTTCAAATGATGTACACGACGGCTGGCGGGATGATGTCCTTATCAGGAACATGATCATTGACTGTATGCAAACACCTGGCTAGAGGTTTTTATCCAGAGGTGGTCGGGTATTATACCAGTTGTACTCATGATCGTTGAAACTGAACACTAAACATTGACAAAAAAAGACCTTGCCATTTTTTACTGTCGTTGTTTGTGTTCATGAACCAGTTCGTAAGCACACCTATTCATCAAGCTTTTGGCTTTTGTTGCTGGACAGAAGATACTTACGTTTGTACTCAGCCAACAGTCGTCTCATAGCCATGACTCGCGTCTAGTGCAGAACGTCAATTCGCCACGATCAGCAACTTGGAAGGGTCAAGACTATAATAATAATAACGACAGTGGCCACCAATTACCATACGACTGAGCTAGCTGAGGAACTTAGTTCAGGAAGTCACGTACCACTGGACTTGTTGATTATAAACCTTCTATGACTCAATTATGTTATTGTTGTGGAACTACAACAAGAAGACTGGCTGCAGACAGCTAAATAATTTCATGTAGAGTACAGTATCTGTGAGCTAGCTTATTTTTTTGATTTTGACTGATGAGATCTTTAAATTTACTTCCTCGCTCGTGTGTTTTGAAGTGAACAAGGATTTTGGCATACACATGTATGTTACGTCATTGTTAGCCCGCACGTGATTTCTGCCTAAGTCGGGATTCGGGACGGGAGTAGCGCGCGACGGGTGAGCGCGCGCGAGGCCTCGACGGCCAGCTAGCTAGGGACCGGAGAACGTCTGATCCTTGGCACTGTCCGGGCCACTTGGCTGGGTCAAAAGAAAGACAGGAAGACGAAAATAATAAATGACAAAGCAGGAAACTTTGGAAAGCTCGTCCAGGCCACCCAGAAAACCTCAGGAACTGCCAGAAACTGGTCCGAGACATGAAGGTTAGTGATAGCTTGGTCAAGCCTGGTTCGAAAGTCATATCAAGCACACACAGGCGCGCACAGCCGCACACGCCTCACACTGAGTCACAGGCACACACACAGAACATTGTTAGCACGCCGTGTGCCACCACTGATGATGCCATGGTCATATGGAGGCTAGCAATGATGTTGTATTGTGGCATGCAAGCAAGGAAGCCTCCTCCGAAGGCGACTGACCTGAGTACCGAGACCGTCTCGGTCCTATACTGTGATCATCACCCCACATGGTGTACATCTACAGGCTGTAGACAGGTAGATGTACATCATGTGCGGTGATGATCACAGTATAGGACATAATTACATTGTCATTGTACACACGCAGGCGACAACTCCGCCATCAGCTCGGAGACTCCAATCACCAGAGTCCGGCCTCACCACTCTACATATTGATAGTCAGTGCAAGTGTAGTGTATGCTAGTGCCAGCACTGCCTGCCAGGACTACAGACTCAGTACTGTGTGTGTGTACTACTACTGATGCCAGAGATCCAGACCAGAGACAGCGAGCGAGCCTTGCCAGTCACCATGGTCACTGAGACTAGAACAGAAAGAGGTACTACTACTAGTACTACTAGTAGTACTACATGTAGCACCCAACAAACAGTGCAGCGTTGTGAAGAGATTAGTGAGGTTTTGCATTCCGAAATTCGGCAAAAAGATTCGGCACGCGGGAGCGAGGTCGAAAATGCACACGAAGATTCGGCATGTTTGTTCGGAAAAAGCTCACTTTGCCGAAAATATTTTTCGGATGAATTTTCTTGTAGAAGAGCGCTAGCGCGTGATTTATTCAAAGAGGTTTCTTATCTCGGCATCGCTTCGCCTCCGTCTTTGGCGACATCAGCATCGTCAGCTACCTCTGATTGCTCCCGTCTGAGTCCTCTCCACTGCCTGTCTACTCTCTTTCGCCTGGACTGGAGTATCCTCACTGTCATCTGTGTGGCTGAAAAGACTATGGCGATACGCATAAAATTTGACTTGGCCATGGAGTTGGTTTTTCTGAGGTGACTGGGGAGGCAGGTTTGGCCCTCGACTCTTTGGGCGATCAAAGTTCGTTGGAATCAGCAAGAAATGGAGCACGGGACAGGACGTAACGTCGTTGCTGATGCTGGGGCTCACGAAATGAAAACACATCATTTTCGACTTGCAAAACAAACGTTGGTGCGAAAATTCGGCATTTTGATGGCTTGTGGCTCAATGTAGCTGAACCATCGGACCTTATTTGTCAGCTTGGATCACGTGATCCATCCAGCTGCCGCGTGCGGCAAACAGCCCAAATAGCGCTAACTCTGGCCTGCGAGCGTTTGCTATTTTTTGAAAAGTAGCGCGCTCAGACCAGCTCGCTCACTCTTTTCCTCTTCCATTTTTTAGGGCAATTGTTTTGTTTGATAGACGAAGCTTAGGGTCTCTTTGGGTTTGCAACCCTTACCCTCCTGGAAAAAATCATAGTTGTGCTAGACTGCGACACTTCAGACCAGGTACTATTAGAGCCGCTAATGGACGACGAGCTATTTTCCGCTATCCGGAGCTCAAGCATTTGAGCCGCTAAATGGACGAGACTCCTGGGGTAAAGGATGCAGAGAATGAGGAGAAAACACTCGTATGGAGCAGGGAGTAGGTATTGTACTACTTCCTGGTATGGAGCACTGAGAAGCGGTAAGTCTTAGGGCAATTCTTAGCCAGTAATTACTTTCTCGCCATAATTATGTTCTCGTTTTTCGTGTCTTCTGTAATGCCAGTACACTAGCAGTACGACTACACTGTAGGCGAGAGTCCATAAGCCAGAGTGTGCAGCTCTCCATCTATGCAGCATAAACAAATTAATGACAAATTTCCTTTGCCTAAGGGCTGGGTTCCACTGCCGCTCCGCCGCACATCATCCACGGCATGAAACGTCATCATTACGAGCTGGTCCAGCGAGGCCGCGGCTCATCACCAGCTTTCGCTTCGCTGCTTGATACAAAAAAATGCAAGCCGCGGTCACGGCTTGCATTGTTTCCCGCACTTAATTGTTTTATTCGGGGGAATTTTAATTCGTTGCACAGGCCAGAACACGAGGATTTTTTTTGGATTTCACGCGCGCGCAGGCAGGCTAAATGTCATAAAAAAAACGTCGAGCACGATCGCGGTACCGTGAAGTGAATGGCGAGTGTCACTGGAACCGCGCCGCTCTGCTGCATGCAGCCAAGTACCGTGGAGCAGCGGAGCTGCGGAGCCGCAGTGGAACCCGGCCCTAACCAAACTTATAGCAATTTGAAAATGTTTGACAATTTTTCATAAAAAAACTTGACAACATTGTTCTTCTGTAGAGTGCCGCTGGCAACTCCATCGATGAACTCCATCAATGAGCGCAGGGATAAAGTTTAGAAACCCTTCGAGCGAGAACGTGTTTTCAAAAAGGAAGCACAAATATGCCGCGTAACTTCCCCTCTAGTACTGTATGGCCCCATCAAAGCCACTCGCTGACTACTTACCAGTAAAATGGGGTTGGACGGTTGTCAGATTAGCTGACATGTTTTCTGCCAACACAACCATAAGCAGTTGTCAACTCTCAAGACTAAAAGAGCTTGCGAAGAAAGTGAGAAACCTTGGCTATGAAAGCACATGAAGCGTCAGAACATAATCGAGCAAACTTGGACCTAGATTACCAGTGTCTGCTCCAGAGCCGGGTCAGTGGCCCTGTTTGTGAGTACTTGGACCTTTTGGAAAAAGAACACTGGGTTACCTGCGACCCGGTCGGAAGTCCTGTCGAGTACTATACTTTTTTATACCGTTCGAGGGTATACCGCCACTGACAGGCTGCATACGCGTGCGGCCAGAGTGCCCAGTGCGAGTACGTTCATACATGTACATGTACAATCATGTACATCAGGAAGTCGAAAGTAAGTTTACGACTCCCTGACACACAGTAGCCGCACTTGAACGCATCTGGCTCTGGCCCAGTGTTGCAGGAATTGTGCCAGGTAGACGTGTACCCGGTTTGTGTTAAATCTTAGAGCAGGTACTGCATACCCTATCATATCTGTGTACATGGGTAGACAGAGTCAGTGTTGTTGCGTCCCACTCAGCACCCTTCTGGTTCATTTCGGCACCAGCACTCTTTGCGTATGCAGAGTTGAGTAGAGTGCAAGTTCGGACCACAAGTACACTGCAGCGGCTAGTAGCAAACCTAACCTGTGCCGTGATGCCCGGCACGTGTGTGCATCTACTTCATCCCTGAGTAACACACCTGGTATATTGTGCACAATAGGGCACAGTAAATAATCAGCATGCATCGCAGTTTTCTGCAACATATTCCTGAAGTCACTTTACACCTCAGAAGAATTGCGTCGCTGACTGTAATTCGATACCGGTTTAGTTTCTCTCTGGGTCATTATCAATCATAGAAAACCCGTCATACAATAGGTTCAAGCTAAAGTACCGTATCACCATGGTAATTCCTGGAAATTCGGTGTGTTTTCTGCCTTTTGTTAAACAAGCAGCAATGTGCAACAGAAATTACCATGGTGATACAGTAGATTACCGTGTGAAGCGGTGTGAGATGCAGCAAAGGTGAGCTTGTTACTGTGAGTCTATGCCCTAAACAATAAACTTTGCCGTGGGATGATTATCCTTGGGCTGCACACTCTGCACACTTATTGCTAGGTATATCATTGGTCTTGTTCGAATCGTCCATTACGTTTGCAGCTGTTCAAACTTGTTTTGTTGTTTATTATTTTATTGATTTATTTATTCTACTTGCCTTTCCTATCTTCTTGTGTTTAGCATTAGGCGATTTGATCGCAGGACAAGAGAGGAGCTGATGGACGATCTCTCCAGTGTCCCTCTTGGTTCGGAGCAGCGCCGAGTGCTGACGTTGGGACTTGGGTAAGGATGAGTGTTCCCTCATGTTTACAAGTTATCCGTTTTGTCCAACACTAACGGTTATATGCAGAATACTGCTGAGTCAAAAATGTGCAACAATTAGCACAAAAACTGACTGATGAGATCATGACATTCAACGACCTGATGCTTAGCTGCATCACGTTTACATCCGTTAGTGTTGGACAAAACGGATAACTCGTAAACTGATGGTCCTCTTTTTCAATTTTAATCCTTGGCTCTCCATCCGAGTTCCCTCGTGTGTGTAGCTATTATTATTTTTTTGGTGACAGTCAATTTTTTCTTCAGACTTTTCCCGTTTGTGTCTTTCCCTCAAACTAGTCAATATTTTTATTTACTTATTTTTTTGCCCAGGGTCTACATTCTACCTTTATTTTACTTAGACTAGGGTTAGCTGTCCGTTTACTAGTACTCATCCACACATATGTGCACATAGGGTCTACACAGAACTCTATCAGTAGATATTTTTGTATAGGAGGTTGTCTATCCACCGAGATAGCACTATATACTCCCATTCTGTGTGTTCTCTGGTAGCTATGTCCCTTGGAGACTATACGGTGCCAGTGTGGTGACCGAGATCAGGCGTGTCTGCACTGGCATCGTCAACTTTGCCTACTGCTACGTGCTCCCCAGTGCTCCATCTGTGTCCTGTAATTTGTTTGGGGAGGGGGGGGGGGGGGCAATACCGGTACT